TCCCTAACCTGGGACAGTGGTGAAGAAGTACAACACAAGACAAAGCTATGTAATACAATAAAAAGATAACAAATATGAGAAAAAGCAAAAAAACGTCGACAACCACACATATCAAGGCGGGGTAAAAGTCAAACGTGTTTGCTGGCGCCAAGCCCTTCCCCTAGCTTGGGACAGTGGTGTAACAGTACAGCATAAGAACAAACTATAAATATCAATTGAAAAGGGCTTAACTCATCAGATCGATAGAAAGCAGAAAAACAAGTAACAATAGCACAGACCGGACATGGTAGGGAATTTATACATTCCTAGACAAATACAGAACTGAGAGTACTCGCAGTTACTGACAGCTAGTTTAAAGACGTTATTAACAGTCAGAGAAAAACATGACTTTGTGCAATGCCAAAGAGTCTATTATATTATTAAGTATTAAAAAAGAGGCTCATAAGGGCCTGAATCACTCACCTTTAATATTTGCTAATTTGTAAATCGAACATCATATCTAGCTAATCAATTTGGAGTTTCAAGAAAAATATTATTCAAAAATGGGTTAATTTCGTATTTAAGTCAATCAAAACTTAAAAGGAGTAAATTACGATTTCGTTCATGCTGATCTTTTAGAAACACTTATTTTGCAGGCAGTCTTCTGTTTCTTTACAACAATAAGGAGATATGGTTTAATTGACATGTACACCTTACATTCATTTGCTACACCAAATATAGATGAAATTTTGATTACAGTCGATGAACCATGCTAGACGGACGTGTACACCTAACAATCAATAACTGATACACCAAGTATAGTTGATCTGCTGCTTAATGTACATATATCCGAGAAACGGACCATGTAACACAACACGTAACATTTACAAATGAACCATGAAAATGAGGTAAAGGTATGGTAATCCTGTCAGACATACATTTACACCTTACAAAAATGCATACACCAAATAAAGTTGACAAACACTTTATAGAATATAAGAACAAGACCTACCAGGTAATCACATAAAACTAACATTGAGCATTGTACCTTGAAAATTAAGACACTTTCATATGAACCTTTCAAGAGATATGTACACTGTACAATTAGTCCATACATCAAAAATAATTGACATACTGCTTAAAGTATCTATGAAACGGACCTAATCGATAAAACTTAACCTTGCTCACTGATCAATCAAATGGGGTCATGGTGAAATGAACCTTGTAAAATGGACATGTACACCTTACAATCATTCCATACAACGCATATAGTTGACATTGTGCTTATGGTATCAGAGAAACAGACCTAAACACGAAAACGTATCATTGACAAATGAAACTTGAAAACGAGGACAATGTATACGTAGGATTAGCCCTGCTAGATTATGTACACCTAACACCACTTGATACACCACGTATAGTTGACTTACTGTTTATAATATCTGAGAAACGGTCCACATCTCAAAAACCTAGCATTGACTAATAAACCATGAAAATAAGGTCAAGGTAAGTCGGTAAGATGAAACTATATAAATTATGCAGTGTTTTAAGCAGTAACTGAGGTCAAGTACAATGTACATATATGACAGACGGAAACTTCGTAACATAGTTTATGCCTATGCCAACACTAGATTAGCATCCAAATGTTAACTATATAACAGATTTGGTTATACATTAAAAGTCTTTTCTTGGTTTGATCAGCTCTTCTACCTTTGAATAAGTTTTGGTTTTTTACAAATATTTTGGACTCCGGCATCACTGAAAATACGGTAATTGTCGAAATGCGCATCTGGTGCAATAAAATTGGTATCGTTTTCATTTTCTTTGAAGGCGAGAAAAATCGGTAAAACCATCATTCCAGGGCTCTATCACTCCCACATGAAGTCAACTGTTGTTGTGGGTATATGTTTTGAAGTTAATACCAGACGGATGATTTTGGTCACGTTTGGTTCTAATTTGCCCAGCAGATGTCCGTAAAAGTTAATGAACAAAACAAAACTAATGCCAAGTAGTGAGAAATGCTCGTTGGGTCTTTTGGACCTGCAGGCTAACTAAAAACGGTAAAAATCAGCCTCTAAGGACTTTTACTCCTATAAGTCAACTGATAATTTCTGTCACACCGACTATTTTGTAGATCTTCTTGAAAACATCAATGGATGGACAGGAACAGCTTTTAATTGATAAACAAGCAACTTGAGATATAATAATCAATGATTGTGGTCTTTGATGACTTCTCAGTGGGCCATTCGCATAAAGATAAAGTTTCAATGAGGGCCTGGAAGATTTCACAAAAAAAATGATCCCTATAATTCGTGTATGTAGAACTACTGTGATTCTAGTACTGAAGAACTAATAACTTATTCCACTTGCTCTAATTTGTATGCCCCAAAAAGCTGAATTTTTTAAATAGTATATCATGATTTTTACCCTTATACTAGTACTAGTACTTTATTTTTAGCCATGGTTGTGATGTTGATTCATTTCCTGGAACAAAAATCACAAACCTTATACTACATACCCTAATTAAGAATCATTCAGCTTACACATATTAAAGTTGGTTGAAATTGGTCTGTCAATTCAGAGTAGATTTTTTTTAATAGTTTCAGATATTTGGGAATCGTAGATATAAATTTCTTGTTTTGGGTTATAATAATTCTTATTTTGTGAAGAACCACACTGATTCTATTCAGAAAAAACACTGAAGATGATATTATCAAAATGCTGGACTTTTTAATCGACAATATATTTGTTGAGTTTGGAGGATTGATATTTCACCAGACAGTAGGTATTCCAATGGGTACTAATTGTGCACCCCTTCTGGCCGATTTCTTTTGTACTCGTATGAAGCAGAATTCTTTCAGAACCTTCTTAAAGAAAAAAGAAAAAGCACCTTGCGAAATTCTTTAATTTTACTTTCAGATGTATTGATGTCCTATCACTGAATAACCCATATTTCAGTCAGTACTTGCATCTCATATATCCCAGTGAACTTGAAATTAAGGATACTACTAATACTAGAACGACTGCTTCATACCTTGATCTTTTCCTCAATAGTGACACAGATGGACGACTTCACACTAAAATCTATGACAAAGGGGATGATTTCAACTTCCCAATTATCAATTTCCCATTTCTCAGCAGTAACATACCCTCTGATCCGTCGTATGATGTTTACATATCTCAATTGATACGTTATGCTCGCGCATGTTCACACTATATGGACTCCATCTACAGGAGTGTTCTCCTTACGCAGAAACTGCTCCAACAGATTTTAGAGGAGGAAAGATTAAAAATGACACTCTGTAAATTTTAAGGACACCATCACGAATTGGTTGATCTATACGATGTGTCTGTGTCTAAACTAACTAAAGATATTTTTACCACTGTCTTAGATTATGGTATAAAATCTATGTCGTCTGTCTGCTAAGTACCGAATGTGACCTATTCCCGAATATGACTGTTTTGCCGAGTGTGAATTTGCATTGACATACGACGTGTCTCGGTATTTATACATCCAACATTCATGTATTTAGTTATGATGTTTCTTTTGTGGATTCGGATAGATATTGTGTTATGTCTTATCGTTTGTGGTTTGAATTCTGTATTTTCGGTACACTTCACATATGTCATATTTGTCAGCATAGTCAAGTTCATTTCCATCTTCCATGGATAAAGTATTGTTTTCGTCAAAATAATTATGACGTTGTCACAGCATTAATTTAAAATAGCCTTTCAATACCGTCATAATCATGATAATTATTTGGACTACTATTGTGAAAATAATTGTTAATTGTTGGATCTCGTTCCATTTAATTGTATGAATCTCAAGATAATATATGTCACAAAAATTTGTCACTGTTTGTGGTGTCCTGTGCTGTTGTTAATGGAAGATGTTCGTTGTAATTCCGAGGTTAACATGTTACTAATGTACTATTATATTATTTATTATTAATGCGTTTCTCTGTGCTGAGTATTCTTGTGTTTGTTTGTACTGTATTCCTGTCACGTAGTGTTGTCATTTTAGCAATATTTTTTAACATTGCCATATAAACGGGAGGTTTGGCTAGCCATAAAACCAGGTTCAACCCACCATTTCTTCTTAAAATGTCCTGTACCAAGTCAGGAATATGGCAGTTGTTATCAAATAGTCCGTTTCTATGTATGTTGGTGTTTGTTTTCGTTGCACTTCAGTGTTTCTTATAGTTGATGTGTTTTCCTCGGTTTTAGTTTGTAACTCAGATTTGTTTTTTCTCAATCGATTTATGACTTTTGAACAGCAGTATACTACTGTTGCCTTTATTTATCAGACATGTCAGTCAACTCTGACAGACACCAAGTGATGGTTTAGCTTTTATATACATGTAAATGCTAATAAAAAAGCTTCATAATATACCACATGAAACAAATTTGCAGCAAAATCCAATAAAAAGTTAAAAACCGGAAAGCCCTATAGCCCAACATTCTTTACAACAACAAACCATAAGGTGACTGTTATTCGTCTATTGTCGGGGACAATTTTTAAAATAGAAACTTCTTGAATCTTATATTAATTTCTTGAAAAAAAATTGTTTTATAAGGGAAGTGAAAAAAAGGTTGATTCCATTGAAAATAAAATTGTGTGTCCTGAGAAATACCGAAGACCCACCATAAAAAATCCACTGTCAGTGCCTTAAAACAAATAACCAAACCCAACTTATCCCACTGACACACTGGTTCATAAAACTGAGTGTCAAGCCAAGTAAAAACTTCTCTCTGTTACTGATATGCAAATCTGCATGATGTACACAAAGTTCAAGTTATTGGTATCTCATTATTTTCCTTCTAAAGAATTATTTTAATCATTTTCAAAAGTTTTCATTCAATGAGAGGTCTATATTAGGATTTAATAAGCATGTTTTTTAAACAATTTGATGTATCTTACTGAATGTGCCATACCATCATTTACAAAGGAAAGGCCTGTATAGATGACAATACTAAATATATTCAGTTCATGCTTTTACACATACAGAAAAAAACAGTAAATAAATTAACTTTTAATGCAATCTCATTATCTCTTTTTACCAAACAAATTGCTATGCTATCTTTTTTCTTCATTTAATACTTCAATCACTGTCTGTACTTACTTTAATAACACATCATCTGTCAAATTTGGACTTACAATAAATCTCCAATCTTATCAACACACTCAGCTGATCTGCATTTTTTTGCAATGTCAGCTCATTTTGACAATTGCTAATTCATTTTTGTTGTCTGTTTTAAAATAATAAAACAGTGCAATTTATTACCAATCAAGTAGATGAGCAACCTTCTTGTTCATTAACTTTTTCAATAAAAATGGTGTTACTTGACTTGTCTCTGGACAAATGTTTTAGAAGATCTAGTCTTCATCCACCACTTCGTTCTTGATGATAATTTCACTCTATAACATTCAGACATTCTCTAAGAATCATCAATATTGGCATTGTTTACTTGTTCTCTCCAGTTTTGTATGAAAATTTCGAGTGTTCATCCTCTATTTCTACTTTGATGAACTTTTTCCCCCTGTCACTTTCGGAAATTCCATTGGAACTATTACTATCTGGAATACTTAATCTTTTCTCTCCAGTAATGTATTAAAACTCAAAATGTTCATACTCGACCTCTTCCTTGATGATAATTTCGTTTCCAAGACATTCAACCATTCCCTGAGAGTCATCACCATTATTCATGTTAACTTGTTCCTCTCCATTTGAGTGAGATAACTTAAAGTCTTCATCCTCAACCTCTTCCTTGATGATAATTTCGTTTCCATGACATTCAACCATTCCCTGAGAATCATCAATATTGTTTATATTAACTTGCTCCTCTACATTTGTGTGAGAAAAAATTAAATTTTCATCTTCAATTTCTTTCTTGATGAGAATTTCATTCCCATGACATTGAGAGATTTGCTGGGACTCATCAATATTGGAATTGTTTACTTGTTCCTTTCCAGTTTTGTATGAAAAATTATTGTCTTCATCTTCTGTTTCTCTTTTGATGAAAATTTGTCCTTCATAACATTCGTAATCTTTAGAAATTGCCTCAGACTCATCTATTGTGTTGTTTATTGGAGAGTTTAATACATGTATGTCAAGTTTATTGAGACAATATGAACCCTCAACATTATCCTCTTGTTTAATTATAAATTTCTCTCCATTCAATATAACACATTGACCCTGAAGCATTTTTGGGTCATCAACTTCCATCTTCACAATAACTTCTTCATCATTTCCTTGTAAATTTTTTTCTTTAGAAGGATTTGTATCATTGAAAACATCTGTTTGTTCCTGGGAGTTATTTTCATCTTCAACAATCTCTATTTCAGCCCTAGTGAAAATTAAAGAACCTTAGTGAGCATGCTCACATATCCCACATCCCCACATTGTCATTGGAGATATTAAATAAGTGTAACAAAAAAAATTGTATAAGAAAAAATATTGAATAATAATTTCCTGTCAATATGCACATCTACATAGTATGTCCTTCTTATCTACAAAATTTCATGAAATTCTGTTGTGTGGTTTCAGAAGAGTGGAGATGACAAACTGTTGCAGAAGTACATTGAAGCAAATAAGTTCAAAGGGGCGTAACTCCTAGAAAAAAAAATGAATCGTAATTTCCTGTCGATATGCACATCTACGTAGTATGTTCTTATTATCTACAAAGTTTCAGAAATTCTGTTGTGTGGTTTCAGAGGAGTTGAGATGACAAACTGTTGAAGTAGTACCTTAAAGCAAATAAGTTCAAAGGGTGTAACTCCTAGAAAAAAAATTGAATCGTAATTTCCTGTCGATATGCACATCTACATAGTATGTCCTTATTATCTAAAAAGGTTTCATGAAATTCTGTTGTGTGGTTTCAGAGGAGTTGAGATGACAAACTGTTGCAGTAGTACATTGAAGCAAATAAGTTCAAAGGGGCGTAACTCCTAGAAAAAAAATTGAATCGTAATTTCCTGTCGATATGCACAACTACATAATATGTCCTTTTTATCTAAAAAGGTTTCGTGAAATTCTGTTGTGTGGTTTGAGAGGAGTTGCGATGACAAACTGTTGCAGTAGTACATTGAAGCAAATAAGTTCAAAGGGGCATAACTCCTAGAAAAAAAATTGAATCGTAATTTCCTGTCGATATGCACAACTACATAATATGTCCTTTTTATCTAAAAAGGTTTCGTGAAATTCTGTTGTGTGGTTTGAGAGGAGTTGCGATGACATGAAACAGGACTGACGGACGGACGGACTGATGGACGGACGGACTGACGGACACACGGACTGACGGACGGACTGACTGACAGACGGACGGACTGATGGGTCAAAAAAATTATACCCTCCGCAACTCGTTGCGTGGGGTATAATAAAAGCAATACTACACATGCTACATATAAATTTTTATGCATTTTATCCAAAATGATATGCTTTGATCTGTAATAGTCAACATAAAAATTGAATTCTGACTAATTCTGCGGCTAAAACAGGACTGTTCAAATAGGGTATTGTAGTTTCTAAGAAGAAAGTCCAAATATAGGTAAAACTGTCAGTACTTCCAATAAGGAATACTTAATTTGGTCAAAACTGATAAAACCCAAATCTTTTAACAATGTCCAATATGCCATTAAACTAGAGATGAAAAATCACTTAGACCTGTTCCTGTCCTAAGAATATTAGCTTACTGATCATTTAACACATTTGTGAATCTCATTATAAATGTGCAAGTTATGTTTTTTAATGTTTTTTTTTAATATTGTATTTGTATTGTGTCATAGATCAAACTTATTTGTTCAGTGCATGTTTACTTTTTGTTTATATGTCTTTTCGATCGAATTAAATCACGGTGAAGGTTGGCGCCTGTTAAAACGTTTAAACAAACTGCATTTGTATGCACCTGTCCTAAGTCAGGAGCCTGTTGTTCATTAGTTGTCCTTTGCTGATGTGGTTCATAAGTGTTTCTTGTTTCTCATTTTTTATATAGATTAGACCGTTGGTTTTCCTGTTTGAATTGTTTTACACTAGTCATTTTGGGGCCATTAATAGCTTGCTGTTTGCTATGAGCCAAGGCTCAGTATTGACGCCGTACTTTGACCAATAATTGTTTACTTTTTAAACATTGTGACTTGGATGGAGAGTTGTCTCATTGGCACTCATATCACATCTTCTTATATATAATTATTTCTAAGTATGCTATTGTCAATAAATGTCATAAATATTGTAACTACACCATTCATTTATCCATTATAATTTGATTCCTAATGAAATACTTATTATCTTTTTCCAGATGTGTATTGCTTTGTACATCAATTAAATGTCCTGCCTCCAAATGAATCATTCCACAATGTACTAATATATAAAGAAAATTTCAAAAATATGACAAAGGTTGATGAATGCAAAGTACTTAATGCTTGGCCCCTTGCCAACAGTGCTATTTTTTAGCAAATATTTCTTAGATGGTGTTTTTAATAAACATATCTTTGCTGTCAATAGAAACAAAAAAGAACAAAATATTGCAACTAGAATAGTACATTTTTTATCATTTTTGTTGTTGATCATGTTGATTTCTTTAAGTCATTAACATGAATTCTGTATTGACTTATAAATGCAATAAAAGAGATTTATTTTATAGAAGAGACAAGTTTGAATTCTTATGCAAATAATTAGATTATGTAATTATTTGGTATGAATTCAAGTGTAGTCCATTGTATATTTAGCAGAAGAGAGGAATAGAATATAAACTGTTGACACAGAGATATGTTTAGTTTTGCTTTTTTTTGTATTTGTCAAAACGAGACAAAAACAACCAGTATTTTAATCTTTTGTAATTACCTGGTTTTTGATTTCCTCTTCCTTTTTGAATCTACATTGTATAAAGGAGTCAGTTTTTGTTTCAATTGTTGTAACAGCAAAGGAACTATGGGTGGACCCATTACAATAACTTCTTGCCCATTGGACCCCTTCAGTTTACTTTTTTCCAAAATAATTTCTGACTGAAAAACAAAATATAACTACAAAAAAGACATGTTCATATGGTAACATTTTTTTGTGAATTTCATTTTGACACCAGGAATAAGTTAATAAAAGATATATGTTCTATTTAGATATCAAGTTTGATTAAAACCTGAGTACAATGATTTTTTTTATGTATTATGGTAGCCACTACCAGCTTCGGTTAAATATGAATATGGCAGCCAATGAAAATTTTGACAACGGTAATTAATTTGGATCCGTATATCATACCTAGATTTTATTGAAATCCTAGCATAAAAAGATGTTTCCAAAAATCATAACTTATCCTTCATTAATTTTTTACAATCATTCCAGAATTGCTAGACATTGAATTGTCAAAATAAGACGAGGTTATTCAATAAATTGTCAAAAAACATGCACATCTTCAAATGAGTGTAATGCTAAACAATTTTGTAAAATTTCACTGCATTTTAAATGTTACTGAAAATCCTGAAGAAAACTGGTTCTCATAATAAACAAATATGAAATGTAGAGGATGAAACTCAAATAACTTTTTAAAATTAGTTATCGACACATACATGATGAAATATACTCATAGCCACATGTTCGTAAAAAAACCAAGGCATATTTCATGGAAGAACTGGTTCTGAAATTCAGGGTTCATCAAAGAAAGATCTCATTACAATTGTTAGTGACTGTAAAATTTCATTGTATTCAAAAACATACTGGAACAGAACTGGTGCTTACAACAAACTATTGACCATTTAAGAGTTACTGTGGATTCATTTATTTTCGTGGGTACCAATTTTCGTGGATTAAGGAAAACTTACATGTTCATGGATATTTAATTTCGTGGTTTTTGACAATGTCTGCATACATGCCTATAGTAAATTTGCCATTCGTTGAACTTTTAATTTCATGGTTAACATATATCCACAAAATCCACAAAAATTGGTATCCAACGAATAATAATGAATCCACAGTAATGATGATCTCATTTACAAACAGCTCTTAGATCTTTGATATAGGGACTCTAAAATAGCTAGGGATCTACTTGAAAACAAAATCACATGCACAGATGAGTTTAAATCATTCTAATTCCGATCCAATTATATTAATGTAAAAAAAAAATTCTTCAAAAAAAATCATTTTGTAGAAATTATCATTCTGGCTCAAAAACTAATAATTTCAGTAAAATGAATATTTTCTGTTTCATGTCCAATTTGTTTTTTGTCAAGATAAGAGATACTGCAGAATTTTTCTTTGAATAAAAATACAGGTATTTATCTATCTTACTTAGTCATACCTTTATATCATTCAGCAACTGAATCTCTAACATGGACTTCTTTGTCAAAATGCGACGCTTTAAATAATTCATATGCCAAGTAAGCTCATCTCTCTGTCCTATATACTTTGAAATTTGATTGCTTCTTTTTTGTGGTACTCCCATCAAAAGTTGATCTTTTATAAATTGACCTTTATTGTGATGATATATGACATGTTCGTATAATCTACCTGTTGTACAAAAAGTTTTATCACAAAAACGACAACGTAATAGATGATGGTTTGTATGTAATTGCTGCAGATGATCTTCTAAATTCCAAATAGTTGCAAATTTTTTATCACAATATTTACAATTTAAGTTGAAAATGGCATTTTTGGGGGGCAGATATTCTTGAGTGTGGTAAAAAAAATTAACACTACCACGTTTAAAAGTGGTATCTGGCATGTCTGTGGAATCATGCATTATATTTGCTCTCTCTTCTGTTTCTTTCCATTCTGCAAAAAGGAAAAACATGTTTTGTAGAATTATACCGACTCAAGTGTTTGATATTAGTTGTCAAAAGAACTTGATTACTTTTTTTAACATAAACATGTTAAGTATTACATTCACAAATGTTTTGCCTTCAATTCCATAGATTTCGATGTACAAATGCATTCTACCATACCCACCATCGAATCCCCCTCACAATAGTGAAGAAAATACTGCTCTTGAACTTTTAATCCATTAATTTCCAGATAGTTTCTAGTAAAATGGGAATTTTGGCAGTGTCCAGATAGAGCACAAACTAAAACCACAAAGCCAGTAGAAATCAGCATTTTCTGGTAGTGTTTCTCAATGCAATACATTAAATCAGAAAATCATATTTCACCTGACAGAAGTTTTAAATGTAACAAATTACACTTTCCTGAAGAACTAATATGAACATTTATTAGATATTGTTATATATAAACATTTGAACAAATTCTATTTCTTGTTTTATTTTAGCTAGATGTTTGTAAGACAGGTAGTTCTTAGTCATAAATACTTTATTGCAGTTTGAGGCCAGGAATAAGAAAAATTGCCTTTTAATAAATTCATAAATTATTAAGAAATGTTAGGTTGACCTTAGATGGATTTGGCTATAATCTTTTGTCAATTTTGGCCCATCATGCAAATTTGTGTTTGGATGTAAGTTTCTATTAAAAAAAAGAGAGAGAAAAGATACTAAGGGAAAATCTAATATCATGAGTCTAATAATATCTGACAACACAAGGATTGATGCATAGAACGTTGTTTTCATTATTATTTTCAGCTCACAAAATTTTGTGAAGAATGTATACTTCTGATAATCAAAGTAATCGAAATCACTGATGGAAGAGTTGTGGGCATGATGTCAAATCATATTCTCAGATATGGTGGTGAACAAAATAAATCAAAGCACTGTAAGCGCTGCAGGTAGTTAACCAAAAACCAAGGCAAACGTAATTATGAAAACTGTGGCAGTGTTGCTTCAATTTTTTTTTTCAGATTTGAAAGAACAAACATTAAACATTCGTATATTGTACATTTATGTTTATTTAATGAATTGATTATTAAGGCAAATTAATTAATATTTTATCAAGGTTTTCTAAAGCAACGCATATATCAATGTATATTTTTAATGGTGAGTCTGCAGTGGTACAAGTTTGCAATGATTGCAGGTGTTCTAGTTGGTAGTTAACGTTGGTACCAGTTGACTTTTAGTGGTACAAGTTGACGTAATTGTATGAATGGACTTGCTTCCCTGGAAGGAACACTGAGTTTGGGTTCTACAGTACAAAAGTTATGAGACACAAATCAGACAAATGTTTACTACTACAGGGATCAAAGGTGAGGTCTGACTGCCCTGACCATAGTAAATGTAAATGACCCCCACCTTCACCCCAAGTCCGTGATATCACTCCATACCAAGTTTGGAATAAAATGACAGGTGATTATAAAAGAGGGACGAAAGATACCAGAGGGACAGTAAAACTCATAGATCGAAAACAAACTGACAACTCCATGGCCAAAAATAAAAAGACAAACAGACAAATAATAGTACAGATGACACAACATAGAAACTGAAGACTAAGCAACACGAACCCCACCAAAAACTGGGGGTGATCTCAGGTTCTCCGGTCAAATAAAACAATTAGTCAAACATTCTTGGGCTTTACACTGCTTGAAAGATTTATATGTTTTCTTTAAAAAAGCCATAAATGAAAATTTTTATAGGCCCAGAAATAATTCAAAAAATAATTAAAGTAAATTCAATTTACCTAGACTCATTTTTTGCATCAATAAAATTTTATAATAAACAAGAAATAATTGTAACAGGATGCTGTTACGAAGTCTCCCAAACAAAGCTCCCATAATTCGTCATTCCCATGGTCGCCTGACATTGGGCAAAGTCAAGTACACATTGGTTTGGTCTAGTAAAGTGATCTGCATATGTCACATAATGTGACGCCTAGGAGATTGACCCTGTATATCATTCAAATTATTTTGAAATGACAAACAGGAATAAATATGGTTTAGGAGTGGGGACCGTTTACAAGTTCTCAAACAGGAGGGGGTGGGTTGACCCCAGGGACTCCCCCTATATTTCATTTGATTTGTTATATTGTCCCATACATGAATATATATGGTTTAGGAGTGGGGATTTCAACCGTTTACAAGTTCTCAAACAATAGGGGGTGGGGTGACCCCAGGGCTCCCCTATATTTCATTTGATTTGTTATATTGTCCCATACATTAATATATATGGTTTAGGGGTGGGGATCTCGACCGTTTCCAAGTTCTCAAACAAGAGGGGGTGGGGTGACCCCAGGGACTCCCCTATATTTCATTTGATTTGTTATATTGTCCCATATATTAATATATATGGTTTAGGGGTGGGAATCTCGACCGTTTCAAAGTTCTCAAACAGGAAGGGGTGGGGTGACCCCAGGGACTCCCCCTATATTTCATTTAATTTGTTATATTGTCCCATACATGAATATATATGGTTTAGGGGTGGGGATATAGACCGTTTACAAGTTCTGAAACAGAAGTGGGTGGGGTGACGCCAGGGATTCCCCCAAATTTTCATTTGACTTTGTTTTATTGTCCCATACAAGTATATATATGGTTTAGGGGTGGGGATCGCGACCGTTTACAAGATAAAAGAACATTTTCAAATTGAAGGGGAGTGTTATGACCCCCAGGGACTCACCCTATATTTTATTTGATTTGTTTCATTGTCCTGTTCTCATTACTGAAGACCACGCGTGTCTATCATTTACTGTTTTCGAGTATAAATAGTCATTTGAAAATAAAATCCCATAGGGTTCTACAGTAAACCCCTCCCTTCTTTAGGCCCTCAAAATACCCCTAAATAGTTCCCAATGCACAGACGAAAGATTGATGACTCCGCTAGACATGTTAGTCTTACATTTTATGAAACCCTAAGTTAATCTGACATGTCTCTGGGACGAGTTATTCCGCATTTTTTAAAACAGCGACCTGATTGGTCGACATTGATTACGTCATTTCCGGTTTTTCATTCATAAAATAACAACAAGTTCAGTGATAAACGGAATAATTTAATAAAAGAAAGGAATTTAAATGTGCATACATTTAATTGAAATCAATTAAATAATCACAATCTTCTTAAACTAAAAGAATATCATGATTAAGAGTACTTTCGCTTAATCGGACTTTATATCATCAGAATCAAACGAACTTACGTTTTGTGTAAGTTAAAATTACCGCCAACTTAGACTACATGTGTACTATATATAACTTTATTCCCTCTATCATAGAGATTTGGTGTACATGAACAATATTCCTGCGCATTTTGCCATTTGGGAAATATAAACGACTTGTAATTACAGATTTTCGGCGATGAAATATTTCATACAATTGTTCTTTGCCATCTTAGCCAAAAGCACAGGGGATAATAAACTACGTACGGATTTCTATTGAGCACTATTTCCTATGTGCAACTTCAAATATTATGCGTCGTTCGACGATCATTTAAGGTTATTCTGGTCATATTTTTTGTATTCCAGAATTAAAAGAATGAAAAAAATGTCCAATTAGTTATAAATAACATATTAGCCTGCTAGATTACAACAATGGCACTTTTTTCAGCATTCGTTAGGAAGAACACAAATCTAGGGTGCTAGCATAAGGCAGCTTAACTGCCTAAAAATTGATATAACACTATTGCATTATCTAGAAAGATTTTTTTTTTTTTTTCAGATGATAATAAGCTTGTCTCCCTGAATTCACTTGTAAACAGTTGCTTTTGATAGTATTTTTATGTTCAAACATAGGTATACTTTTTATCTAACTAATCTTAGGTGCATTTATTAATTTTTTATAAAAATTATATGACACTGAACATGAATTGTTTAAAGGGTTAATTTTATTTCCATAATCTTACTATACAGATTATATTATATTGCCCTAAGATAGAAAATTTCTCAATCTTGATGCTTATTCTTTCAATATTTCAATTTTAGAATGTGCAACAATTTTTAATTTCTTTTTATTTCTAAACATTTTTTAGTTTAATAATTTTGACATGGATGGAAAGAATCTTCTTAAGGTGTAGCATATATATATTGTGTTTTTTTAAGTTTGACTCAAATAATTTCCAGAAAGAGGCATTGAAAAAACACTTTTGCTAATCATGACAGTTGTCAATCATATCGGTATTATATCAGTACTCTTATTTGCCTAAGGAAAGAAATGGAATAATAGTATTTGAAAAAAGTGCATGAACTATATGCAGTGTATACCGGTACATAAAATTAAGCAACTGTTTGACCTCTTGTTTCTTAATGAAGGACAAATAATTACATTAATAATGATTCATATGGTGTATGAGCTCTCTGCAAATCATAAAACACATTATTAGTGTAATGATATGTCTTCAATTCAGAATTCTGCATCATCCTAAAATCTGGAGTGATCACATAGATCCAACATGACTGGTTCAGTTTGATAAATGCAACACAAATTGTAAAAGTAAAGTAAGGATTTGAATAAAATATACTGGCCGTACAGTGACCTATAACTGCTTACATCCACATCATTTGAACTCTTGATAATTGTCCCATTGGAAATCATACCGCATCTTCTTAGTTTAATATTGTTCAAATAAAATAGTGAGATTAGACAATATGTTTAGAACATTTTATCACCTATTAAAGGGGCAATAGCTAAGAATTTATAAAAAAAAACAAAATATCACTTTTTTTTGTTTCAAACATTAATAAAGTGGAATTGTGAAATAATTTTTCTCTATAAGCAGTAACTTTGGTTCAATTTTTTGCAAAGTAAGCTCAAAAACATCTCTGATGTATTATGGGCTTGCAACTCTATAATTCAACTCATTTGAATCCTGATTCATGAGAACTTATGTTTGACCCCTTAACTGCTCATGTGCTAAGCATTTAATGTTATTAAAAAGAAAAGAATCTCAACATTGAAAAGTGAAAAAAGGCGACCACAGGGAACAACCCTGACATTGAAAGATTCTGCCTACAAAAAAATCTTTCGTATACAGGTAAACCAATGTTTTACATTTTATTTAATCTATGACATGAAACCACACAGACCTAGAAAAATTGTGATTAACTATTGCATGTGTTTGATTGTGTATTTATATTTATATTCATGTTTACATCAGGTCATATGACCTACTGAATTCTTAGGAGATTATCTTGATGGTTAATTAGATGGCATAAATACACACGAAAGGTTGATATGAGCATGATGTAAATTGTTTCTTTAGGACATTTTGTAATTTGGATAGACGTTTTTAATTAGTATGTTATTAAAGAAAATATGAGAAATTGAGTCAAATCAGTGAACATAAGTTTGACAGCTTATGCACCTTTTAACCAGAATATATTTTAAAAATATATGCGATTTGAAATGTTTTCTAGAACTCAATATGTGATTTGTAAATGTAACCAAACTAACTACCTGTAAAAGTTGGTATTGCAATTTCCATGATTTCATCACTTGACCTTTCCACAAAAGGGTCTACTCTTTCAAATTGGCACTTGGTATTTACATTCCTCCATGATCCTCAAAAAAAGGAGAAATCATTATATCAAATGAGTGTTAACAAAAGGAATGATATGATTCTTAATGTTATAAAAGTCATATATACATGTATAATGTATATACATCATTTACATGTATGACATATATAATAAAATAATATTGATATGAATGCAAGGTTATTTTAGGTTTCATAAAGAGTAAGAATTGGATATTGATTGATATCATATCAAGTTATTTAATTAAATATAATAATAAACACAGGCTTGTCTATCATTATTATTTACATTAAATAACTGTTGATATGAAGCAATACTGTAAATTCAGAAATTATTGCGTGCATTAATTATTGCAATTTTTCAAGAATGGACAAAAATTTGAGTTTTTATTATTGCGATTTCGAAAAAAAATGTGCATACAGGTCTATATTTTGGTTATCAGAATGCAAGGTCTCATTATTGCGATACTCGCCCAGTCGCATTATTCGCATTAATAAAAACCTCACAATAATTTCTGAATTTACAGTATCCAATTCTCACACGTTGTTTAACCTATTTCTCTTATGATTTCTGAGTTATAAAAAACATTCTCTTTGTGTTAAATATAAAATTCCACTACTCATTGATCTAGTCTTTTGCACATACCAGTATGATGTCAAATGTCCTGTTCAGGCCTCAAACATTAACATCAGTTATTTCAAAACTTTTTGCAAGTTTCAGAATGTAATACACTTGACAAAAAGAATATGTTAGGGTGAAAAGTGTGAGTGTTTAGTATATTATTATTGAAGAAATCACATACATGTATCTCTGTTGTCATGGTGAAATGACCAGGCGAATAGACAATGGAAATGTCTCAATATTGTTTCATGATACTGGATAAGCCAGTCATATCACAACACTTGATCGTGAAAGTTTCTATATCACGATCAATTGTTGTGATATGATTCAAGTAACTGCTAGAATGAACTTTAGATCCCAGAATTTCAATCTTGTGCCAGTCATCCTGAAAGGGGCATTATTCTGACAAAGTAATTATTTTCAATGACTTATTTATCTGCAATTTTTTTTTTTCATATTAGTCAAGTAAAGCCTTTCTTCATGGGCTTTAGCTAGGGTTGTAACACAGTACATGATGTATTGTGGCAAGTAGATGGTATACCTTGCTTTTTAACTGTCCTGAAGGATGATGATATTACTTCTCTGAAGGTTGTGGCTTGTTATCTATTTTAGCATGAAGAGATATTTGTTGTATCACACTGCACAAATAGTGATAGGAAGAATAGGTTAATTTGATTGGCTTTTCTTGTTTACATGTATATTGTTTTGAAAAAAATGACATGATTATTATGCTGCTTCTATATATGTCTATTTTGCTTTGACTGTACCATGTGTACTGCTGTTTTTGTCTTAGTGATGTACAAACCACATTTCCTTTATTCCTATGTCATGTATATATGTTGCATGTAGTTTTTTGTTTATTGTTTTGTCCAGTCTCTATCCTGCTATCAATGCATGCAATGATTAAATGTCTTTAACATATCTGAGTCTTGTTAAAGATACATTGAACAGGTAAGAAATTTAATAACACTGTAACCATGTATGTTGGCCAGCTACAATGTACATGTAAAAATGTGAAAAAAAATAGAGTTCATGTACATACCTGTGAAGGTAGTTCCAGAAGGAATAACAGGTTTTAGAACTGTACTCGGTGGTTGCAATTTATTTAAAAAGGCTGTGGTTTTAAGCTCTGGTATTGGATCCATGTTGTTGTGTAGATCTTTATTCATATCACTCAAGTGTTTCAGAGAATTGCTGCATGTACTGCTATCTTGTACACCTACAAATGTATTTCAATACAGTATTTTTTTTTAAAGAGAACTACACAATTAATCCTCCTGGAAATTTTGAACAGATTACAAATGTTACATACTGGAAACATGGATTTTTAGCAATTTGTTATTTTTGTGATTCATATATATATATATACAAGTCTAAATTGAAAACAACGTTCAAACCTATGATTGCGTTGGATAAAAACACAATTTTATACGTGTGCATGCAAAACAAATTTCTTGGTAGAGGGGTTTAAATACAGCACAAACAACATTTTCCAAAAGACCAAAAGAGTGAAAAAGTATATTTTAACAAAACGCATTTGACTAGCAGGTCGAACAACTAATGTTCTTAAACCCTGCTGACTGATATATACGCATATACAGGTACTTTACATGCTGGGGTTAAATCACATCAAACAAGAAGTGTGCCTTCACTTCAATATCCTTGATCATTTGATTTGTTCATATTACATGTATTATTTTGCACAGGGGTATATTTTTGTGCATATTATGTGATTGCAAAATAACCACCAGACAATATTCCATGTTTGCATGCGCAGCTTTTAAATACTAGATCAAAAGAAATTTAAGAGAGAGAAAAAATATATCTAACGAAAAAGGCCTTTATAAGCCAAATCTTCAGTACTTCAGTATCTAAAAACCTTGCTGATACACAATTATAATGTTTTATCAACTAATATATATAACATAATCTAATTAGATCATAATATACAGTGGAATCCCCTGTCTCAGCTCGGCCGGTTTTATTGCACATTACCATATTTTGTCATATCTACAATGTTACATAAATAGAATCTTTCGTGTAACTGTTTTAGTCTTCTGAAGGGACAAACAAACAAATATTTTATTGCTAATCACAGCGCCTACAACATGCACAAGGAGCAGAATAATCAACATTAATTTCGTACTAATGATTACAAGTGATTCAATATGATTAAGACACAATGTTATAGTTTGAAGCAAGTTCAATGAAAAGAAAACATTTATTAAGACAAGCAGAAGAACACAACAAGCACAGTAGTTATTGCTATAAAATAATATAACTGGGTAAAGGGGGGGGGATCACTGTTCATTACAACATCTACAACTATTTATCATTTGAGGAAACTTTCCTATGAGTAAGTTTTCCATTAAATCTTCAAGTTTCTGGAGTATGAAAATATCTTCAGAAGACATAAGCCAAATAAATTGTGATTTAATATCTAAACTACTAAAATTTTTAAACCGTTATTTTATTTCATTTACAAAGTTAAGAGGAATATTTGAAAGTTTATGGCACTGAAGAAGAAAATTAATTTCATCCTCAACCTCAGTACCACACAATTTACAGATACGTTCTGATACTGTCAGATTTTTGTACCTTCCCCTCTCAATCTCCAAATTGTGAGTACTGATACGGAATTTTGTTAAGTAATTTCTGTATTTTAAAATTTCCCTGTAAAAGGTAATTTTCTAAGCAAAATCTGCTTTTAAAAAGTCTGTAAGTTCTAAGCTTGTTCCCATATAGTTTATTGCCTCTGAAATCATTATTAACATGATTAAGCTCAGTATGCCATGTTAAATTATATTTTGATTGCATCTTTTTGAATAGTTTTTGAACTTTGTTTTTAAATTAAGTACATAATTTTCATTGATGCTAAAGTATTTAAATAAAGTTTGAATACTTGTATACCAGCTCTTTTTCTGCTCATCATGTAGAGACTTTGAGAGGTTGAAAGCTTCTTTTGATAATAAATCATCAGATTTTTTTAAACGTATATAGTATTTAAACATATTCAATAAAATCTCCAAAAATAGTGGGTATCTGCCCAGTTCACCCATAACTCAGTATTTGTTGCTTTTTTACTTACTCCAAGTATAAATTTACAAAAGCTTAAATGAGCCTTCTCGACAGAAAAGATTAAACAGATAAAAATTAATAAGTTCAAGCATAAATTTATAATTGCATCCTATGATTAACCATATTTAACCATTTTCCATAAACATTATGACATTATTAGAAAAAAAAGGTTTTATTTTATGGCAAATTTTTTCAAACTGAAAAAAACTTTTGCTCCACATCCTTGGCAGTCTGTTTGGTTCAAACTGAACTTCTTTTTATAAAATCCTTCCTTAATTCAAAATTAACTGTTTTAAAAAGGCGTGTGCGAAATCACTGGACATATGAAGACATACCAAAACAGGGATTTCCCTAATTTTGGACACACATTACACATTGCTTGTCGATACTTTTATTTTGGCATTACATAAGTCATGTCTTATTTGACTGTCCATGACGTTAAAACACTAAATCTCTGGGATGTGTTTTAGCTGATTTAAGACTGATGCATGATTTTTTATTATTAATTGTTTTTGGCTTTTAACTAGCTTTCAGAACCTGCGAGTACTCTCAAATCATACTGTCTTGTTAATTTGACCTGTTGATACAATATTATTAATTTTGTATTTACATTGTGTCATAGATCAAATTTATTCGTTCAGTGTATGTTTACTTGTTTTTGCTAATATGTCTTTTGATTGAGTTAAGCCATTTCAATTGATATTTTATAGTGTGTCTTTCTATGTTGTGATGTTACACTATTATTTCAGGATAGGGTGAAGGTTGGCGCCTGTTAAAATGTTTTAGACCGTTGGTTATCCTGTTTGAATGGTTTTACACTAGTCATTTTTGGGGCCCTTTATAGCTTGCTGTTCAGTGTGAGCCAAGGCTCCGTGTTGAAGGCCGTACTTTGACCTATAATGGTTTACTTTTTACAAATTGTGCCTTGGATGGAGAGTTGTCTCATTGGCACTCATACCACATCTTCTTATATCTAAGTTCAGGTGATCCCATATCATCATGATCATTAATATTTGCCCACTGGGAAATTAAATGAACTTTTCAGTTTTGAAAGAACACAACTTCAAATATCACTTGCAAAACCATTTTTTTTCATTATACAAAAGTTTTATTTTGATTAGGTTCACATATAACAGTACAAACATTATAAGCTCTTGAGATCTTCTTACCATACACCATATCAGTGTCTAAATATCAGTATTTAGTCTAATCCAGAAAAAAAAACAGTCACTTCCTGTTTGGGTCATGGGTTGCAAAAACAAAGTTAATCAGTAACAAGCTAAAGAAGGAAAAAGGTTAGAAAGCGAACATTTTGAAAATTTGATTATGATACACTTTTTTGAAACACACATTCAAGTATAAAAATGCTTTGTTGAAGTGTTAACATCGTTTAACCATGCCTGTAGCAGTTTAGGAAAAGTTTTATGCATTATACATTGTTTAAACAGGCCCCCAGATAGCTTTAACTGGATGAAAAAGTTGTGTAATTTCTGAACTTATCCGGATGGGAATAAATAGCGCTATTTAGTCCAATCCGGAAAAAAACAGTCACTTAGACAACTTCCTGTTTTGGTCATCTGGCACCAAAACAAAGGTCATCAGTAACGAGCTAAGGGAGGAAAAAATTTAGAAAGTGAACACTTTGAAACTTTGATAGATTATGATCCACTTTTTCGAAACTCAAATTAAAGTAAAAAAAATATTTTGTTTGAAGTGTTTACGATGGTTTAAACAGGTCTCTTCAAAAAGTATTATGTATGATACTTTGTTTAAACAGGGTCCCAGATAGCTTCAACTGGATGAAAAAGTTGTGTAATTTTAGAGAATGCTAGTCAATTCGTTCCAAGTCCAATTCGTTCCAAGCCAATTCATTCCAAATTTGGTCAATTCATTCCAACTGATTTTGTTCATTATTACTGGGACTAAATCATTTGTTACTGGTTTTTTTTTAATGTACATGTATATATGTCTCCCTATATTATAGTATTTGTACAGATCAGTGTCCAGTGCAAAAGTAATTTTCACTTCCAATGTTTTGCAGTATATTTCATATAAAACGATGTTTTTCAATAGATTTTTTTTTTTTAAAAAACACCGAATCGTGTGAAGTATATTTTTTTATTTAGTTATACATTTTTCTTCGGTTGTCTTTGTGTTTCCTGATGTGAACCTGTATTATAATTTGAAATTATCTGTCTTATGCATTAACTTAAGAACGATGGCAATTTAAACAACACAAGAAGATTCCATGATGGAATGTAAAATTATTTGGAATTTTAAGCCTTTATAATATTTAAGTTTCAAAATTTAATTTTTATAGGTTTTAATGAAGTTGACCTAGGGAAAAAAAAATGAGAATTATGACCCAAGCTGAGTACAGGTTAATTTATTCTTTTGATGAATGCATAACAGACTTTTATGCGCATTGTGATAAAATACACAATTATGATACAATAATTATTTCTTGGAAAATAAAACTAGTTAATTTTGTATTCTAATACATTGTGTCATAGATCAAATTTAATTGTTCAGTGTACATGTGTATGTTCACTTGTTTTTGTTAATACATGTATGTCTTTTGATTGAGTTAAGCCATTTCAATTGATATTTTATAGTGTGTTTTTCTATGTTGTGATGTAACACTATTGTTTCAGGTAGGGTGAAGGTTGGCGCCTATTAAAACGTTTAAACCCGCTGCATTTGTTTGCACCTGTCCTAAGTCAGGAACCTGATGTTCAGTGGTTGTGTTTGTTGATGTGGTTCATAAGTGTTTCTCGTTTTTTATATACATTTTCTGTAGATTAGACCGTTGGTTTTCCTGTTTGAATTGTTTTACACTAGTAATTTTGGGGCCCTTTATACAGTCAGGGGGTACTACTTAAACAAGTGATTTCATTATCACCTATTTCAGAGATTTGATAAATTCAGTAATCAATATTAGGTGATTTTGGTGTTTCCTTTGATCTTCATATGCTAATTTCATTGATTTTCCATATTTTGACAAACTTCTCTTTAATTTTCCTACAGAGATCAATTATCCCTTTTTCTTTGTATATTAATTTCACCAGTGTGCTTGGGCAGTAAGTTAGTGCGCTAAAGCTTTTAAAAATACCCTTGGGAATTTTTCTGTAATCAAATATTCATTAACTACTCTTACTATCAGAAAAGGTCAACAATATTATGTAACCTGATTGGTTTTCTTTCAAGTTAGAATGATCTACTTCAAGGTTATGTACTGATCTACAAATTATTCCAGTTTTTGCATATTTTAAATTAACTGTAAAAACTGACAAGCTTATCAAGCAAAAGATAATTTCTGCATGTACATAGTTGTTTTTCAATGGAATTCTTGTCTTTTTACATTTGTTTTACAAAATGTTTAACCAATAAAAAAATCAAACTTGTGGGAAAAATATCAAGAAAATGTTATAAACACTTATTGAAGTGATTACATTTTAACTTCTCAAATTACTTGTTTCAGTGATTTTAAAAAGTCTGTGTTTATTTTTGTGAAAATTTTTAATATTTCACAGCCAAAATCACTTGAAGAAGTGATTCTGAAATCACTTATTTAAGTAGTACCAGTGACTGTTATAGCTTGCTGTTCTGTGTGAGCCAAGGCTCCGTGTTGAAGGCTGTTCTTTGACCTATAATGGTTTACTTTTACAAATTGTGACTTCGACGGAGAGTTGTCTCATTGGCACTCTACCATATCTTCTTACATCTATAGTTAGTATTTTTTTTATATTAAGCTGTCATGAAATATCTACTTAGATAAATAGCATAATCGGTCAATATATCATTTCCAGAATAAACCATAAAAATAAATTCTAAATAAATATTTATATATATACATTTTATAAATCATGTTTAAGTATAGCACTTAACATGCTAAAATAAATGTTATAAGGTAATTTTAATAGTGCATATGGTTAAACAATGTTCCTTTTAGAAAGTTGAAACGGATTGACCAAGCAACTTGGCACGAACTGGTTGGTACGAATCAGAGTTGTAACGAATCATCCAGATAAAACGACCATTTCAGAACTTACCCGGAATGGAATAAATAGCGATAAGGTGTATTGACAGTGAATAGTATTGTCACTCAACAAGGTTGAAAATACGGATCTCCTGTAGTTGGTGATCGCAATACTGGTAGACCAGTATTGTCCACAATACTGGTATAAAAATTTTGTACCAGTATTGTAACATTTTTTTTAAAAACAGCAATACTGGTACATTACTGATATACCAGTATTGTAGTTGTATTGTTCACTATACTTTAAGGTGTATAATGAAAAAAAGAATTTTAAGCAGAATTAGATATTGAAGATCAAAGGGAGATTAAATTATCTCAAAAAGGTTATAGAGGATAATTGTGAATTCAATTAACAACCAGTTAAAAATAATTACTATACTTGTACAAATAAACAAAAGATTATTGTAATATTAACTCATCTTATTCAAACAATTGTTAATTATATAAATAATTGCTAATAATTTTATCATATTTCTATATTTTATTTAATTCAATTTAGATAAAATAAAATAAAAGCTTTATTATCTGAGTTATTATTTAATAAATTCAAGCAAATTATAACACTATGACACTGTAAATTCAGCATTAACATGTATGCCATCGTATATTTTGTACAGATATTTTAATACATAGATATAAGAAGATGTGGTATGAGTGCCAATGAGACAACTCTCCATCCAAGTCAAAATTTATAAAAGTAAACCATTATAGGTCACAGTACGGTCTTCAACACGGAGCCTTGGCTCACACCAAACAGTAAGCTATAAAGGGCCCCAAAAAATTACTAGTGTAAAACCATTCAAACGGGAAAACCAACGGTCTAATCTATATAAAAAACGAGAAACGAGAAACACTGTTTATACATGTATACTAAGATTCTAAGCATTTGTTTGTCTTTATTTTTTTATCAATCTTTCACAATAAGCATGATAAAAGATATTAATATCCATTAAACATAAAATGTTGCTTAATAGGGGAACCTGATTATAATCAAATTAACTAGTTTGTCTACATGAATGTTAAGGGTAGTTTAAGCAGTTGATTCAGAACCATCATGACCACTGGCAATACAATTTGTAGCAGATACAATGTATATCTACTGGTACAAATACTCAAATTCTGAATACTAGACAGGCACTCCTACAGTAATAGAGCCGTACAGGTGCTATCTAAACAAGCTTGTAATCTAGTAAGCGTAAGAGAAAGTCCACAGACTGAATACATAAATATCAATATAGGAAGTGGGGGTTGCAGAAATGCCATCTGAAGAAGAAATAACAATACCAATGATGATGATACAGAAGCTATAACAGCATTAATGTCAATATAAAATTCACTAAAATATACTATTGAGTCTTGGAAAGAGAGAGCTGGAAGAAATCATAGAAGACAGTAACGAGTTTGTTAAAATGCTGAGACAGTACGGTTCCCTTAAGAAAAAAACATCAGAAGATTTAAAACTTTCTTTGATTACAATCACAGTGTACCATCAATGGCATCATCAGTTAAACATACAATCATTCCATATAAAATTGTCATGTCATATGTTAATATCATTATGCATATATATGTGACACCTTTAATAAAAGATTAATTACCTATATGTATTGTTTATTTGAAAAAAACACAATACTGGTACAATACTGGAATACAATACTGGTACAAAATTTTTATACTAGTATTGTGCACAATACTAGTATACCAGTATTGCATCACCAACTACAGGAGATCCGAAAATACTGAATTTAACCCATAAAGAGTCTGTGTCTCTCAACTGGATCCACATGTTAAATTTCAAATGATAAACATTATGAAATAAGTTCAGGATGCATGTATCATTTACTTACATATATGTAAATTTAAACAATACTTGAAAAGTCGATTGATACGATTCGTTTTCTGCAGGGACTTGAATGATCAGGGACAGATACGATTACTTCTCGGCAATTTTACAAACTCGATAAATGGCAAACTCGGCACAGTACAAACTCGGCACATAAATGGAAATTGTTCTTATTCATGTATTTGATAGACATTGGGTTCGATTACGTTGGATTGACTATCCAGGTCGTATGTCGCAAAACTAATACACAAATTAAACTGAACCTGTAGCTACCATGACGATATAACTAGTAAGTACTAGAAATAAAAGGCAAATAATTTGGAATGCAGGGTCAAAATGTGTCTATGTTACTACAGCCAGGAAACTAGCTAATGTAGCTGTTGGTCGGATACTGGCTCTCAAGAAAAAAAATATCAGAAAGAACACGCGCTAATCTAAGGTCAATAAATGACACAATCTCTCTGTACTATTGTGTTTCCTCTTATGGTACACCGTTGCTCTGAGTAATTTCTTTGATACATACTCTAAAAAATATATTCTTTGATACATACTCTAAAAAATATATCAGAATAAACTTTAATGATACTTCAATTTGATTTTTGATTATTAGATAAGATATGCTGGTCCTTATAAATGTTGTAATGCAGTGCTCATTGACCATTATGATAGCTAAAAGTTTGGCAAGTAGTATTGATCCTCTGTTAGCTATACTTACCTCTTTAAGCTATTTCTAGAATATTCTACCGCCCCGCCCCACATGGTCCTGATGTACCCTGACAAGATCCGTCTGTGAATGCCACTACTGTCGAGCCTTTGCTGTCTCCTAGTAGGTCCTTTACAACCTTAATTGTTTACTAGCGACAGTTTGCTCAGCTGTTCTGCTCTTTGAACTACATAGTCGACTCCAGTAGCTTGGTGCTCTCATCAGCGCAAGCTTTATATGTGTACGCTGGTTCTATAAGTGTGATCTCAACCTTTAAAGCTTTGGACGTGTCTATGAATGGGTTTATAGCCGTACCAAATGGAGACTCTTGTTGTTCATAAGTATCGTTGTTGCTTAGATACTGTTTCGGTTGTTGTTTAATTGGTTCTGCTTTGTCACAGTCTTAGATTAAATTTTTGCCAATCTTCGTACTGAGGTTTATTCTAATCAAAGGTCGATAGGTTGCCGTATATTGGCTTCGACTTCCATTGCCTCTGTACTTGATGTTCTTGGTGAGACATAGTGACAAGTCCTTTCTTTGTACAGCTTCGAGTTTTTTCATATTGTCGCCAGAAGTTAATTGCCATACTGATAAAATTGAGAATGGAAATGGGGAATATGTCAAACAGACAACAACCCGACCAAAGAGCAGACAACAGCCGAAGGCCACCTATGGGTCTTCAACACAGCAACAAAATCCCGCACCCGGAGGTGGTCCTCAGCTGGCCCCTAAACAAAATTGTGCACTAGTTCAGTGAAAATGGACATCACACTAAAATCCAAAACATATAAATGAACTAAAATTAAAAAACATACAAGACTAACAAAGGCCAGAAGCTCCTGACTTGGGACAGGCGCAAAAAATGCGTTTGAATTAAACATGTTTTGTGGGATCTCAACCCTCCCCCTATACCTCTAGCCAATGTAGAATAAAGAAACACATAGCAATACGCACAGTAAAAATTCAGTTCAAAAGAAGTCCGAGTCCGATGTCAGAATAGGTAACAAAAGAAACTAAGCAAAATGACAATGATACATAAATGAACAAAGGACTACTATATAGCAGTTACTGACATATGCCAGCTCCAGACCTCAATTAAACTGATTGAAAGATTATGTCTTCATCATTTGAAAATCAAGTACAATCCCTCCCGTTAGGGGTTTAGTATCATACCATCATAAAATATATGAAAGAACATAACCCGTATCAAGCCAACAACTGGTTTTAGAATAAATGTGCTTATATCCGATGCAAAGACCATATGAGTGATTCAATATTAATACCAAAATATGCAATCCTTAATGACTTGACAACAGTATCGTCACTATATCCTTTCCGAATAAGTCTGTTTAAAGGTTTGGTTAGCTTTTGAGGTAAATGCCGACATATTTGTGCTTTGTAAAGAATATTATCATAAAATATTGGATGTGAAATACCTGAACGTATAAGATGTCTGCATGTTGATTTATACTTACGAATGATGTCCTTGTACCGATGATAAAATTTAGTAAATGTTTTGACTAGTTTGTGATATTGAAAACCCTGGTGTAATAATTTTTCAGAAATACAGAGATTTCTTTCGTTGAAATCAAATACGTTGTAACATACACGAGCGAATCGAACAAGTTGAGATATATAAACACCATAAGATGGCGACAAGGGAACGTCACCATCTAAAAATGGATGATTAACAATAGGAAATGAAAAATCATCTCTTTTATCATAAATTTTGGTATTAAGCTTCCCGTTAAAGATAAAGATATCAAGATTCAGGAAAGGGCAGTATTCATTGTTAGTATTGGCTTTATTTAAAGTCAGTTCGGCAGGATAAATCTCTTTAGTGTACACACTGAAGTCGTCATTATTGAGAGCCAATATATACATCATCTAAATGATATGCGTACTCTGTATAGATCTCACCATGCTGTTGTAGATTTGGAGTAGTTTTGTTCTTGATATTCGCAATAACAGCGAGGGTGAAATATATTCTTAAATATAACAAAAAAAAATTTTTCCGTTTTGGTAAAGAATGGTCGTTTCCCCCGAGGTATATTTTTTTTTTTTTTTTTTTGTTACAAAATGTATGTTGCTTGTCACTTGTAAATCATTTCGGCTTGGTATATAAACTGGCGATGTCTGAAGAAGAGCCTTTGTTGGATTGCTTATATCTGGCTGTACAACTGCGAATGTTGAATTTAGTATTCTTTCTTCAGAATTACTTATCTAGGAGACATTGAAGGTTACATATCCCGTCAGTGTGGAACGTTGTTCACGGTTTTGTTATAATCTGGTGGATTTTAAAGGAGCATTTTCTGTCATGTTCTTGCATAGATTACAAGTAAATGCGATGTCAAGTAATATTTTAGAAAATAAAAGAGTTAAATTCATTGTATTTTTTTTTTCAAATTTTCAGTTATAGTTCAACGAGCCTAAATTGTACGCAATTTTTTACCAAAATCTGTGACATTGCCCATTTACTGTACCTTTACCTTAAATCTCATTACATAAACTGTCTAATGGATAAAGCACTTAACGTCACAGTACCCAAATTGCACCTATTTTGCAAAAATAGCAGCGGAAGCTGCGGAAATCTTACATATAAAAAATATGAAGATGTGGTATGATTGCCAATAAGACAACTCTCCACAAGAGACCAAATGACACAGAAATTAACAACTATAGGTCACAGTACGGCCTTCAACAATGAGCAAAGCCGATACCGCATAGTCAGCTATGTTTTCTTATAGACAGAATAATTTGTATATTTATAATTTGCCATTATACACGTCTTTCAACATAGCTACTATAGTAAATATATTTAAATATGCACTAAACGGTCACATTATATATCAAAAAACGAAGTAACCCGAGAAAAAGGTAAAATTTACGGAAACGTCGTATGCGACGTCCACAAAAAGTCAACTTTTAAAAATGAGCAATTCAATTATGTCTGAGGGATCTTTTTCTTACAAATGAAAAGTAAGCATGGACAAATGTCAAATTGTTTTGAACATGTGGAGAAATTAAACAAAACATCAGTGATTAGATTTTTACAGATGTGGATTTAGGCATGGGTGCAATTTAGGTACTTCTCATACGGTAACAGCATCTTGGGTTATTTGGAGGTCGGTTAAAACCCATTTTTCTATAATCAGTATGGATTCAAAATCAATTTTGTGGAACTATATAAAAATAAGCATACATCTACAAAATAAACACAGAACGAAAACTTTTGTCTGGATCTTATATAAACGTGGTTGATAAAAATTGTCAAAATAGGTGCAATATGGGTACCCTCACGTTAGCTATTGACTATTCGCTTGGAAGACCCAGCATATACTTCCACAAAATTTTGGAAAAAAACATATGTCTGTTCTATGTGTCTTTGGAATATCAACCAAAGATGTAAAACTAAATCTTCCTCCAATGTACTTGATACTCGAATTGCAAAAGTGAACTTGCGATCAATGAAATATATACGGGTCTGTCAAATAATCCACAAAACGTCTTTTCAAATTATTAACATCTATATTAACAACAATCAACATCGGGCTTCAGAGTTATTGTGAAACGCCTTATTCTATGGGCGGTGAAAAATGTGAATACCGAAAAACCTCAAAAGAACTGATAGTGGAGTTCATCTTACATTTACATCTTACATCTAGAAACTTACAAAAGTGATGATTTCAGTTTTCCTATTGTGTACTTTCTATATTTCAAGATTCAAGCAGCCCCAGCATATAAGGAGTTTATTTCTCCTAGTATATACGAAATTCAAGACCTTGCGTTACCTGTCATGAAATTCGTAAAGGAGGGTTGCTTATTACAACCCATAGTTCCTAGTGGTGAAATTTAAGTCATCATTCCAACAAAAAATTTACGAACGCCATCATGAGTTTAGGTGCTTGTAATTGATCGTAATTGCCCAGTAGTCAACACTTCTGTGTTGACTTGAGTTATCATTGATATGTTCATAATTATAAATTAACTGTTAACAAAACTTTGAAATTTTGAAATACTAAGGCTTTTCTACCTCAGGAATAGATTACCTTAGCTCTATTTGGCAAAACTTTAGGAATTTTTGGTCCTCAATGCTCTTCAACTTCGTACTTTCTTTGGCTTTTTTAACATTTTTTGATTCGAGCGTCACTGATGAGTCTTTTGTACACGAAACGCGCGTCAGGCGTAAATATAAAATTTCAATCCTGGTATCTATGATGTGTTTATTTACAACCACTGGGTCGATGCCACTGCTGGTGGAGTTTTAATTCCCCGAGGGTATCACCTGCCCAGTAGTCAACACTTCTGTGTTGACTTGAGTTATCATTGATATGTTCATAATTATAAATTAACTGTTAACAAAACTTTGAATTTTTGAAATACTAAGGCTTTTCTACCTCAGGAATAGATTACCTTAGCTGTATTTGGCAAAACTTTTAGGAATTTTTGGTCCTCAATGCTCTTCATCTTCGTACTTTCTTTGGCTTTTTTAACATTTGATTCGAGCGTCACTGATGAGTCTTTTGTAGACGAAACGAGCGTATGATGTAAATTTAAAATTTCAATCCTGGTATCTATGAAGAGTTTATTTCCAATTGTCGTAGCAACAATCTCGTTCTCTTCTAGATCGTGACATAACCGAATGCCTATTTTCATCGAATGTGTACATGACACGAGCAACACGATCGGTGCAACTTGTTGAGCAGAATCTGTTAAAGCATATGGAACACATGGGATCACCCACGATTTTTAGTTTAGTTTAGTTTAGTTTAGGTTAAACATATTTTATTTGCAAAAGTAGCAAAAGGGGTTTTTGGTGGGATTCGTTTTGCGCATTCTGTAGTTTTCTATGTATTGTTTTGTTAACTGCTGTTTGTGTTTTCGATTTTATTTTTATTTTTTGTCATGTTCCGATGCAGATCCAACTAGGATTTTGAAAAAGAGACCACATACAAGGCAACGTTTGGAGCGGTACATGCAAAAAGTCTATGCATGAACCATATATGTAGCTCCATAATTAAGGAGATTTTGCTGTCGGTTTTATTTCGACTTATGATTTTTTTATTGTCCATTTGGTTTCTTCCGCCTCTAAATTTGTAAATTCTACATGGTTTCCTTTATTCTTTTACCTATGGAACTTTTAAATCGTTATCTTCATGCACAAAAGACAATATTTTATTATTGAAACTTCCCGTGCCGTTACAATGAAAATAAACTTAGTCGCGGGAAAAGGTAAAAAAATTTCAGAAATAAGAAACACTCGAAAAATTGGTGTAAGTAGAATGAGCTTTATATTATATCTAGGGATGTCAACGAGTACTCGAGTATTCGAGTATCGCTTGGTAGTACCGAGTATCGAATATCAAAACGATACTCGACTAATCGGTTTCCTATTAACTATTGCTGTCTTCTTTAAATAAATTTGATCTTCTTGAGAACCTCTTTCGGAAAATTAAATAGGCATCACAGATTAATCATAATAGTAAATAAAATACATTTTGTTTCGAATGCTTGTGCTAAATTGTCATTTTTTAAATGCGTCCTAAAATACGTGGGTGTACCTAAGCTAGCACTTTAAACTAAACATGTCTTAGCCATTCCGTCACATCGGTACCGTCAGAGCAAATATTTTTGTATGCAAGACTGTAATTTACAAAGTTACAAAACCGACTGTTTCAAATAATAGTTGACAAGAAAATGTTTACTAATAAAATAAATTCGTTGCATCCTCAGGTGACCCTCAGTGAATAGTTAAACTTCTAATCATACGCCTTTGTAAACATTAAATGTGTTTTCTTAACGATTACCAAATACTAATGTTTGATATGGTTTTTCCTTGTTGTAATTTTTAAATAGGTGTCCATTAAATCATATTGATTAGATTATTGTTTTTTTATACTTAATTAGTACTTGTTGGTAATGAGCTATTAATTATTGTGTGTAAATCCATGTCCCAGATACTTATGTAGATGGTTTTTCGTCCGTTGAACAACAAACCACAGAATGTAAATACGTATTTTTGTGTTTCCGTGTTGTAGATATATTCCCGAGCGAGTACTCGAGTATCGCTCGATAAAACCAACGAGTACTCGATAAGTAATTGTTCACCGAGTTGACATCCCTAATTATATCAGATACATGTATACAATCTTTTATGGTAATATTCTATACAAAGCACAAAAATGTCGGCAGCCACCTCAAATGCTAACCAATTTAGTGAAACCTTTAAACAGACTCATTCAGAAGGGATATAGTTACGATACTGTTGTCAGGTCATTAAAGATGGCATATTTTGGTATTAATATTGATTCACTCATAGGGTCTTTGCATATCGGAAATAAACACATTTATTCTAAAACCTGGTGTTGGCATGAAACGGGTTATGTTCAATCTTCTCATATATTTTATGATGCTAAACCCCTAACGGGAGGGATTGTGTATGATTTTCTTATGATGAAGACATAATCTTTCAATCAGTTTAATTGAGGTCTGGAGATGGCATGTCAGTAACTGCTAGTATTCCTTTGTTAATTTATGTATCATTGTCATTTTGCTTAGTTTCATTTGTTACATATTCTGACATCAGGCTTATTTTTAACTGAGTTTTACTGTGTGTATTGCTGTGTGGTTGTTTATTCTACATTGGCTAGAGGTATAGGTTGAGATCTCACAAAACATGTTTAACCCCGCAGCATTTTTGCGCCTGTCCCAAGTCAGGAGCCTCTTTGTTAATCTTGTATGTTTTTTTTAATTTTAGTTCATTTATATGTTTAGGAGTTTAGTATGACGTCCATTTTTACAGAACTAGTACACAATTTTGTTCAGGGGCCAGCTGAAGTCCGCCTTCGGGTGCGGGATTTTCTCGCTGTGTTGAAGATCCATTGGTGGCCTTCGGCTGTTTTCTGCTTTGGTCGGGTTGTTGTCTGTTTGACACATTCCCCATTTCCACTCTCAATTTTATGTCTCTGATTAATCAATGAAACAAGCTTTTAATGTTATTACCCCAAAGGTCAAAAGAAACATCAATTCACTTAATGATATAAGTGAATTTATAGTGTAATACTGACATTTTTAAATTATTGAAATAACTAAGTGACCCTCAAATGTCTTGCTTTAGCAGTAGTAGGAATACTAGTGCATTATGTAACTTCCAATCTTTCTTTACATTCCTTCTATAGATAGTGTTCAGTAGTACAATTCCGTGTAATACTATTCATAAAACAACATCCGCCTACTGATTGAAAATTATCAATTTCGGACATGAACGATCGATGATGAAGTAGACAACGTACAAATTATACAAACTTGTTGATAGAGTATCAAATGATATATACATTTTAATTGTCATTAAAATTTTCGTTTTATTGATATCAATTCATTGAATATATAGGGATTATTGAATTCGGTATTGTTGCATAAAACATGCAAGTAAATTAGACATGTTGTCTATGCTGAAGATTTAACTATACTTTTAATTTAAAAAAGTACGATAATTTCGTTACCTCTGTTATTAAAAAAACGTTTTTCATCAATTTCTATTTAAAACCTATTTTAATCAATTAATCAAATGCTCTTCAGTGCTACATATTGCTGTCAAAGACATTAATTCGGCCGTTAGTTTTCTCGTTTGAATTGTTTTACATTTTTCATATCGCCCGGGGCTTTTTATAGCTGACTATACGGTGTGGGTTCTGCTCATTGTCGAAGGCCATACGGTGACCTATAGTTGTTAATTTCTGTGTCGTTTGGTCTCTTATGGAGAGTTGTCTCATTGGCAATCATACCACATCTTCTTATTTTTATAGTTTGATACAAAATCGCAAGTTTTACATCAGTGTTTTAAATATATATATATATATATACACACGTGCAGGATGCCGGCCTCTATTAAACCATAAATGAATTAACTTGTATCGTTCTTGTACAATTTTTACTGGATAAATACTAAAAATGTCAACATTTTTGCGATCTTCATTTTTTTTCAATCTGTCTGATGTCTGACAGAAAAGAGACAAACATTTCGTTTTGGCGCCCGAAAGACATATATCCAAGGCCAATCGGCATAAATGACGTCATTGTCCTTTGAACATCGGTTCTTACTGTGACGTGCAATATTTTCGATTTTTTTATACTCGAAAATGATAAAAAAAATTCTAAGGTCTTATCTATATTATTTTTTGCGATATCCATATGCAGTTCTTCATACTCTTGATCACTCTTGCAAAATTTCACAAATTCCCATAAGATCGTCCATGAGGGTGTGGATGGGGGTTTACAAAATAGAGAATAATGGGCAAAAAATATAAAGAATAGAGAATAATGGGCAAAATGTATAAAGAATAGAGAGAACAGGGAATTTTTTTTAGAGAGTACAGAAATGAAGGACCCCCATCCATACTCTCGTCCATGTACGAACCAGCGACTCTTTTCACAAAAAATCTTACGATTAAAATTGATCGTAAGTTATACTGAAATGTGTATGACTTACGAGTATATTTACTCTTAGGATTTTTTGTGAAAAGAACCGCTGTTCAGTGCCGTTGTTAAGTTCCGCGAAAATCTGACGTGTCCTTTGGATAACATTTTTGAAATTGTGCATCTCTTGACAACCAGAACAACATCCGGTGTTAGCAGATCCACCCAAAACGGTAAAACACAAAACGTTATCATGCATATATATGCCAAGTACTCAGTTTTCATTAGAGATTTTTATTTTTATCTTTGCAATGAAATATCCTCACGTTGTACTCAACGAACGGTTCCGGCTAAGGCTTCTGTCGATCAAAGTAAAAATCCTGTGTGTCGGCCCTGTAGATCTAGAAGATCATAGAAATAAGAAGATGTGGTATGGGTGCCAATGAGACAACTTTCCATCCAATTCACAATGTGTAAAAAGTAAAACATTATAGGTCAAAGTACGGCCTTCAACACGGAGCCTTGGCTCACACCGAACAGCAAGTTATAAAGGGCCCCAAAATGACTATAGACATACTATAGTGTAAAATATTCACAGGAAAACCAACGGTCTAATCTGTATAAAAAACGAGAAACACTTATGAACCAAATCAACAAACGACAACCACTGAACAACAGGCTCCTGAAGGCTACAAAAAAATAGTTTATTTTACTAACAACAAATTCAAGAATTTATCAATAACGAAAAACCCATTCAAGTTGCAATCATTTGAAAACAAGATTTAAAATGACGTCAGCATAAACTTAGATGACGTCACCCTGTTAGATAAGATATATTTCATTACCAATTAAGGGCCCACAAGGGGCATATAGAGAACACATGTATAAGGAAAAAGAACATTGATTAGCATAGATAGTTTTTACATAGAATTTAAATACACAATTACAATACAATTAGACTGCACAAAAGCCCTTGGTTTATAGTATATAATATATTTATATGAGAAAAAAATACACCTAACTCATATTGACTTGAATAAATTTTCCAACAGCATTAATTACCTGATTGTCTTCACAGCTTAATAAATATATGAATGTTTACTGATTGTTCAAAAAAAAGTTTGGAATAATATGGCAAACAAAGTCAAAGTGAGCATCTCTATCAGAGTTTAATTTTGCACATGAAGTTCAAAAATGGATTTCATCTTCAACACATCCAGAGGAGCATTTTTTGCAAATTCTTCCATTTCGCGGAATATTTGAAAAACGGCCAAATTCAATTCGAAGCTTATGAGCAGATATACGTAATTTACAAATAGCTCTTCTAAAATCAAAGTTCTTAACCAAAGAGAGATAATTGCCAAAATGTTGTTTAAATTTTAAATAATTGAACAATTTTCCATTAGAAGCATTCTTTGGCTAACATACCAATTATTAATTAATTTAGTTTGAATTGATTTGTTAGATATATTCAAAACTTTATATTGTCCAAATGTTTTACTTCTTGTTTAATTTCAAAAACTTCTATTAATTTTTTAACAAATGAGAACCAAGAAGTTATGTTAGATTTGTGAAGCTCTTGGCTGCATTTATAAGCGTCTTTCAGTTTCAACAGACTGAATTCAGTCTGAAGATTTTCAAATCTATACCAGTATTTAACAATTGACTTTACAATATCATAATGTAGGGGAAACGCCCCAGTTATGATACGACCATTTGAATTGCGTGATGGAGGAAGAATTTGAAATTGAATAACTTGGCCTGGTAAATAAATGTGTACAAAAGTAAAAATATTTTTTTTTTTTGTGCGGAGGAAAAAAATTAAGCATGCGTAGCAACAGATGAAAAAAAAAGAAAGATCAATCCGGCAAAAACTCCTCCCCCCCCCCCTCCTGAATATCAAATTCGAACTAGAGATCGTTCACAAGCGTACATGGATAATTTGCCAGAATGCGGTTTCAAAGGTAAACATATGTGGGAACCTTCTTATTTTGTTTACAAATATGTTTTTTAAATTGAAAAAAAGAGAGTCGCATTGTCTAGTAATGATTTAAAATGTATCTTATTCCATAATTTCGTTGTAGCATGGAAGAACTGAAGTATTCAGTTTAGAAGCGAGTTTATACTTCACGAAGATAACTAGGTGTTTTGTCATATAAAATTTTATGACAGAGTATCAATTTATGATTTTTGACCCTTAAATAAGATATTTCGTTATGTATTCGATACAGATAAAACTTAACGTACTTAATATCTTATAAACTTCAGAATATATCTTATAATGTCTTATAATAAATATTATAAGATATCTTATAGTCTTATAATAAACATTATCTTACCTATAATATAAGATATCTTATAAACTATATAAGATATCTTATAAAGTATATAAGGTATCTTATATATCGTATTTAAACTAGATCATATAAGATATCTTTTATATGAGATATATTGAAGTTAGAATAAATAGTAAAACGGCTTGCCATATAAATTTGAAGCATTATTTCTGGTTCCGAGTAAAACTATTGTAATTTTTCTATAGGTCTGGACTTTTATCTATACATTTATTGTGTCAATTTCTTTCCCAAATAAAAGTTGTAAGGATTTATTTTAGCTCTTTATAGAAGGAAATTCTATAAAAATAAGGATATGTATAGTATGATTTCCGATGAACTATCCACTAGAGGTCAAATGAAGTGGATATAAACATATTTATAGGCATAACTTGTTCAAATGATAACATGCATTATCTTCGAAAAATTTTGCAATGACGTTAAAATGCAAAAAAAAAACTTATTGGTAAAATTAGGACTGCCCAAAATGATACTCTACTTGCCGAACAGTGATGACGATATACTTGTCCTTTGTTTTTTAGATACGACCTGATGCTATAAAGTCTTTGAAAGGGGTCCATTCCAGTGTGGTAGATGTTATTTGACCCAATTTTCATTGACAGATAAAACATTTGCAGTGTTTTATAGGATGTGACTATTGACAGTCTTTTATACAATTTGTCCTCGAGTGATATTTTTTCAGAGTATAAACTGTAGCCCGAGTCATGTGTGGAAAGTCAATTTATACTTATTTATGTATGTTCCCCAAAATGATTGCTAAGAGTATTGACCAGTAGCTATGTTCATGTAATTCGTAATTAACCAATTAATTAAATACATTTGTAGGACAGTAGGACTCGGAGCAGAAAATTATCAAAGAAGATGGATGGAATAAAAACATATCAAGAAAAAGAAGATGAAATTCATTCTCATAGACCTGATAATTGTTGTGATACCTCTGTCATTGAAAAGAGTGTTTTTACCGACGATACCCGTGTTTTCACATGTACATGTGCGTACTGTGATTTTTGTCGAGATATATTTGAGAATGAAGATAATTTGTATGTGCATGTGTTAAGCAGACATGGTAATGAACTTAAGAGATTAGTCCTAGACTCTAAAATTGAATTGACACTACAGTACCCTTGTTGCCATTGCGAAGAAATGTTTGCCACTATAGCTGGAAGAGACTGGCATATAAGATGGAATCATGTCCCGCTAGTTACTTGTAATCATTGTCATTCGAAGTGCACAACTGAATATGGATTAAAACAACACATTAACAAATATCATAAGGACATACCCAAAAGGAAAAACAAAACAGATAACAACAGAGTAATGTCTTGTCACTATTGTGGAAATCAATTTACCTCTTTATTGAAAATAAAAATTCATATACAGGAGACTCATACCGAAAGTTTATTACAATGTTACTATTGTGACAAAAAATGCTACAACCTAGGAGCGTTATACGTACATATAAAAAATAAGCATACAGATCACATTAATGATTTGAAAGTTATAAGGCTGAAGATTAAGGAGCACATGAGAATGTCGTCTGGTGGTACTTCTTCAAACTGTCATAATAATATGTCTACACCCAGCAACAATTATCAGAATGGCAGTACTATTGATGGAAATACTAACACTATGAATATACCAAGTCAGTTATGTGATTTTTGTGAAAGGAAATTCAACACAGATAATTTATTGTATAGTCATATTTTTAGCAGACATCAGGACAAGGTCAGACGTTTGTGCTTGGAGTCAAATGAAAAACTAAAAATACAATATAACACTCAGCAAGGATTAGAAAAATACATTCACCACCCGAACTGTATTTATTTGAAGTTGAGCATTATTGATGAAGCGCAGTTGGGAACAGTAGATTTTGACCTTCCATCGTGTCAATATTGTGGAGAAAGTTTTATTTCATTGCATGAGCTACAAACTCACACGTGTATTCAAAAGAAGTATATAAAGACAGAATATCAGGAATTACGCAGTAATAAAGCAATCCCAAGCACACGGGGACTCGGATCTCATGTTGAAACAAAAGAAAAAAATGGCTGTAAGAATTTGAATATTCTACCAAAAGAAGAAGGTATAAATGGGTGTTATCATACAATCCCGATAAAAGAAGAACCAACTGTGTACTTCCTTCCATACCATATAGATAATATGACACATACAATAAGTAATAAGTCAGCTTTACACCTAGAGAAACAGTTTCTGAGTGAGACAAAGGTATTCAACAGTAAAATATAGTAATTTTAGAGCAAGATTATTATCACCAACAATAATAGTTAACAATAGATAACTGATTCCAGAACTGGAATGTCAAACAAATATATTCAACGAGTGACCAAAACATAATAAATATGCGTAGCATATGAGCAAATTGTCATTGTTTTTCGGTAGATAGCTGAAATTTTGATCAATATTCGAATTGTTCGATTAGGTTTCGTTTAATTATTTTCACTTCCAATGGAAATTTAAAAGAAGATATGGAGAAAGTGTATCTTTTTCTACGCGTCCTCATTTAAAAAAAATATTTTTATGGAATTAAGGTCGTAGATAAATCCTTAACAATACCTTTTGTGGTATGACGTTGGAGCAGTAAAAATGCAGGATGTATTTCACATGTGAAATACCAGCTTGTTTAACTGGAAAATCACGGTATTTCATCGCAAGCAATACGGCCTTCTACAATGAGAAAAATCCATACCGTAAAGCAAGCTATAAAAGGCCCCGAAAAGACAAATGTAAAAATTCAAACGAGAAAACTAACGGCCTAATGTATGTACAAAATAATAAACGAAAAACAAATATGATATACAGCAACAAACGACAACCACCAAATTACAGGCTCATGACTTGGGACAGTCACATACAGAATGTGGCGGGGAAACATGTTATATATCTTCTTTACAATATATAAGTCAAAAACAAACTGACAATGCCATGGCAAAAAACAAAAAACGACCAAAGACAAACAGCAGTACGCAAAACACAACATAGAAAACTATAGACTGAGCAACACGAACCCAACCAAAAACCGGGAGGGGGAGTGTTTTTAAATGCTTCGGAAGGGTAAGCAAATTCTGCTCCACATGTGACACCTGTAATGTTCCTCATTTCAGTACAAAATCGGTGAAAAGTCTAATTTGGTAGGTCACATTTGAGGAAAAGAGGACGGCATTGTGGTTACGACAATTGAAACATGTCCGTCGTCATCTGTGAAACAGATGTTCTATAACGGTCAACCAACTCGTGACAGAGTCCGTAAAATTTTTCAAGGGATGATTTCAACTTCACCACATGGAACTCTTGCTTTAATATCTTCCTTGTAAGCAGCAACCCTCTATAAAGAAATTATGATAGGAAATGCAAGCTCTGGAATATCATATCAACTGGGAAATATATATTCTAGGCCTATATACAGGCGCTGCTTGAATGTTGTTACATAGAAATAAAAAGTTCACAATTGTGAAGCTGAAATCATATCTTTTGTTGTAAAGTTGTTCTCAACCGACCCTCATTGTCAATTTTAAGATGTAAGTCAATATATGAGTCAGACTTAAATGTATCTGTTGTATGTTGTAAAAATTAAGAAATAATTCTTTCAGGTCATGCTACCTTTTATAAGTATTTAGTATGACGATAACAGTTTTCACTTCTGTACTGTTAACAACAAATTTATTTATTTTGTAAAAAATGTTTCCGTACTCCTAACAACAAAATTATTATATTTAAATTTACCTGTGTACGTTACTTTATAGAACGCCATTTTGTCCCAGGTTAAACTTGTCTTTTTGATATTGTTCTACATCTTTTTTTTTAATATTGTAAGTTTATATTGTGTCATAGATCAAACTTATTCGTTCAGTGTATGTTTACTTGTTTTTGTTTATATATCTTTTTGTTCGAGTTAAGCCATTTCAATTGATATTCTATAGTGTGTCTTTTTATGTTGTAATGTTACAGTACTGTTTCTGATTATGGTGAAGGTTGGCGCCTGTCAAAACGTTTAAACCCGCTGCATTTGTATGCACCTGTCCTAAGTCAGGAGCCTGTTGTTCAGTGGTTGTCGTTTGTTGGTGTGGTTCATAAGTGTTTCTCGTTTCTCGTTTTTTATATAGATTTGACCGTTGGTTTTCCTGTTTGAATTGTTTTACACTAGTCATTTCGGGGCCCTTTATAGCTTGCTGTTCGGTGTGAGCCAAGGCTCCGTGTTGAAGGCCGTACTTCGACCTATAATTGTTTACTCTTTGCACGTTGTGACTTGGATGGAGAGTTGTCTCATTGGCACTCATACCACATCTTCTTATATATATCTATATATACCCATTTTAACATAGGTACAATAGTCATTATATTTGGCAATGTCTTTATATCGAGCGTTAGCGAGTTGTAAAATGTTGACACATATAATGTAATGCCTTCTCATGATAAAATAAACATCTATAGAACTTGACACGAAAGAATTATTTAGATTCTAAAAGGAAAATTCTGAAACTTTGTACATCGAAGTAGACCTATAAACCAAGATCGCTGAAAGACATCTATTTTAATTTGATGAAACAACAACTGAATGTTTAGGAAAACCAACCGTTTTACTATTAAAAAATGAACATATACATGTAAACTTACTTTTAGAATAATTTCATTTAATTTCCTAGCGAGCAACACCAATAAAAGTGTCAAATTTCGAAATACAACTTAGGAAGCAGTTTTAATTGTGACGCCACACACGTGAGTCTCATGTTCCATTTGTAATAGAAAAGGGCTTTCTTCAAAAAAGTAAAAGAAGAGCGTCATTTTAGAACCTTTACTAAATTCTACCATACGTACAAAAGAAATTGTTTTGTAAGTTTGGCTGTACCTAACTGCATAAATATACCGTACTTTGACCTATAATGGTTTACTTTTATAGATTTTGACTTGGATGGAGAGTTGTCTCATTGGCACTCATACCACATCTTCTTATATCTATTGATATCCATATATTAAGGTCAAGATACAGTAAATGGGCTATGTCACAGATTTTGTTGAAATTTTGCATTTATCAGATTATCTCTTTTGTTGTCTGGAATATTACTGAATGACTTGTTTCAAAAAAGTTGATCATTTGTACAGAAAGCACATCAAATCGGCGAAAAACGTTCTTAAATTTGTCTTAAAATCATAAAACTCCAATTTCAAATCCATATATTTTACTTAAAAATTTACGAGACAAGTCCTTTCGAACCGATTTTTACTATTTGCTCTTATGGTGTTTTGTTACATCACTGTCCAAGTTGTGCGGTGGTTTTCGTTGGTTGTTGTCGGCTATACATTTATTTTTCGTTCATTGGTGTATTTTAAACCAGGTCATTGGTTTTCTCTTTCGAATTGTTTAACATTTTGTCACAGTTAAAGGGGCATTAGCTACGAGATACAAACAAAAATTAAATAAAATATAATTTATTTTTGTTCAATTATTAATGAAAGTGAAATATTGAAATAATAATTAGCTTTTATTAAATGGAAAAGAATGTCAACATGTGAAACAAGGGTAAACCATTTGGTTAACTGATTCGATCCACAAAAGCTCATTCTTATACAGATAAAAACGATGATTAACGTATTTTTTTAACCTATTATAATATGAAATCAAACAGACCGTCGGCAGTCTTAGGAGGTCACCTCGATAGTTGATTAGATGGCGTTCAGAATAAAATACACACGAAATGCTGATACATATTATCGAATCCATGCATCGTAAATTGTTTATTTTAGACATTTCATAATTTGGATATACGTTTTATAATGTTATCAATCAAATATGAGAATTTGAGTCAAATCGGTGAACATGAATTTCACAGCTTATGCCCCTTTAAAGAATTTAAACGGTCAGATTGATTAAGTATGACTATATACTTATCGCGATCAAGTGTGCTTGTTAAGAATAAATTGATACTAAACGCTTTTGTTAGGATTGGTAGATTAAGTTCTACGGAAGCTTATTAGCGCCACACAACTTTTTTTTTAATATTTCTTCCTATGATTGCGTTATAACGCAAACATTTGCGAAATAACGCAAACCGTGCATTGCGTTATAACGCAAACCTTTGCGTTATAACGCAAACCTTTGCGATATAACGCAAACCTTTGCGATATAACGCAAACCTTTGCGTTATAACGCAAACCTTTGCGAAATAACGCAAACCTTTGCGTTATAACGCAAACATTTGCAAAATAACGCAAACATTTTTTTTAATCTTATTTCTTATTTAAGATTCAAAGGAAGCAGCAGTTATAAATGGAGGAGGCTGCATTCATTAAAATGTATCCTCCTTTGTATTCATAACAAAGAAAAATGCTTGAATATTTAGAACATATCATTGACTAATAATGAGTAGGATAATAGATATAAGAAGATGTGGTATGAATGGCAATGAGACAACTCTCCATCCAAGTCACAATTTCTAAAATCAAACCATTTAATAGAGGTCAAAGTACGGTCTTCAACACGGAGCCTTGGTTCACACCGAACAGCAAGCTATACAGGGCCCCAAAAATTATAATACATGTATATATATTACAAAGAAAATTGAGTAAATTGAAGTTGTATCGAAGAATATAAAAAATCAACCCTGCTAATATAGCTATAGCCAAATATAAATATACTTCCAAAGTAAGCTCTCGTTTGAGGATTGTGTTAGATCCAAACACGCTACCTTTTCAAAATGAAGATATTTTATTATTAAAATTATGTTCTCTACATTTAAATTGCTACCCAAGTATCTTAAAATTACTTTGAACACTAGATTGAAATGAAAATTCCATGAATTTCTATCAAAGAATCTTGATCATATTCTGAGATTTAAAAAAAATCTTGCATCAAAATTTAAAAAAAATGTTTCTTTATTAATAATTCATTTTAAAGCAGAAAGATCATTTTGTCTATTTGACTTGAAAGTTTCACAAATGTATGACATTAGTTTTGCTCTTTCAATTGAAATATGCCTATACCATATCTATTTTCTTGTTAAATTATATACTTTTCTGATGCACAAATCATTCTTAATTTATGTATAATTGCACTTCAAGTATTCCATTATTCCTATGCAAATTTATCATAATGAGTTGGCCTTGTATTTATGGTTCTTTTCCTATCTACTAGTAAATCACAACCGAAATTAATGACAGACAGACATATATACAAAACTTGATGAATAATTGAAATCAAGATGTTTGCGTTATATCGCAAAGGTTTGAGTTATAACGCAAATGTTTGCGTTATAATGCTTTAAGGTTTGCGTTATATCGCAAATGTTTGCGTTATTTCGCAAATGTTTGCGTTATGACGCAAAGGTTTGCGTTATGACGCAAAGGTTTGCGTTATTTTTCAAAGGTTTGCGTTATATAACGCAAACATTTGCGTTATATCGCAAAGGTTTGCGTTATATCCCAAAGGTTTGCGTTATAACGCAAACATTTGCTGTTTGCGTTATAACGCAAACCGTTGCAAAATAACGCAAACATAGGAAAAAATATTTTAAAAAAAGTTGTGTGGCGCTAATACGCTTCCGTAAAGTTCCCTTTCAAATATATATATATTTTTTTTGTCCTTAGGGTATTGAATTTTTACCGCCAAATTTAAGGCATGTTTTTTGTATAGTCGGTTAAAGAGCTCATGTTTCTTTGTTATTGTGTACATATTTGGCGACTTTAAATAAAATTTACTTACTTACTACCTACGCCTACTCATATTTTCTTGCAAGGTTTTCTACAAGGTCATATTACTGACATGTGATTTAATGCCTTCTATGTATTTCGTATTTTGCAACAATTACAATATGTATGCGATGGACGTATCTTGCGCTCCTAACTTTTTTTTATTACTAAGTCTTATTTGATTTCGAAACAATCGGATTTGGTATTGAGGACCAATGATGAGTGATAAATTTTCGGAATTCGCTTACCGTATACCAATTTAAATTTGGTATCTGCATTTTCATGACGGATGTAAGTATTCTATTAATGTAAATGTATTTTTTTTATCAGAGCTAAAACTGTGTGTGAGTTTTGGTAGTAGAAGTACGAGTTACGTTTAAAAGGATTTCCAGAATGACATTAGAGCAGTAAAGACGGAGGTCCTCGGTAAATGGTTTTCGTAGTAAAGACAGAAATTGATGATTCTAGGATATTTCAAAGTAACCTTGACTTTGTCAAGGAACATGACGATGGAGGATTTAATCATCTTTAACTTTGACTTTGTTTTTGGAAGCATAGTTGTTTTAGTAAAATTGAAAAGTAATCACAAAGAAAGATAACAAAGAATGCTCGGTTTTATTATAATAAACAACAGGAAACTTTTAGCACCAAATTAAATGAGTTGTTTATGTATTATTATTAAAAAAGTCTAATATAAAAATAAGAAGATGTGGTATTATTGCCAATGAGACAACTCTCCAAAAGAGACCAAATGACACAGAAATTAACATGCAACTATACGTCACCGTACGGCATTCAACAATGAGTAAAACCCATACCGCAAAGTCAGCTATAAAAGGCTAAAACTAACGGCCTGATTTATGTACAAATTAATGAACAAAAACAAATATGATATACATCAACAAACGACAACCAATAAATTATAGGCTCCTGACTTGGGACAGGCACATACATAATGTGGCGGGGTTAAACTAGTTTAAAGGCGCGCAAACCCTCCCCTAAGCTACCATGGGACAGTGGTGTAACAGTACAACATAAGAACAAACTATAAACATCATTTGAAAAGGGCTTAACTCATCAGATCGATACAAAGCAGAAATGCATCAAACAAAAACACAGAGTAGACGTGGCAGGGTACTTATACATCCCCACAACAAACAGACACTAAGTACAGATCTGAGAGTACTTGTAGCTACTGACAGCTAGTTCAAAGCCAATAACAACTACTAAAAAAATATCAATCAATACACATCCAACATTCAATGGATTTAGTGTAAAGATGTCATTAAAACAATATTTAAAGATCTAATTATAGTGTTGAATTGGTAACCTTTGAAAATAAGTTTATTTAAAGGATCGATAAGTTTACCCGGATCGTATCTAAATGTCCGGGCTCGGTAAACAACAACATCTCTGTAAAAATTAGGATGTGCTATCCCGTTAAAAATAAGTTTTCTACAGATACAACCAAACTTTCAAACCAAATCTTTATATCTATGGATGAATTTAGTAAAGGTTTTAAGTAAATTGTGGTAATTAAATCCCTGACTTAATAATTTACCAGTCATACATAGATTACGTTCATTAAAATCCAAAATGTCACAGCAGACACGGGCATAGCGAACGAGTTATGATATATAAACACCGTAAGATGATGCCTTTTCTCCAAGACAACATCAAAGGTAAATCCAGCAGCCCTCAAGTTCAAAGTTCTCAACATTCTCATATTTATAGAATCAAATGTTGTATACGTACAATTAGACCTTTTTACAATTTGTATTATGACAAAGGTTCCATCTTTTATAGAGCCAACTATGTGAATCTTTAAAGGGCGTGTCTTGAAGTATCATTGACATACTCGAAAATCCTTTCCACACGTCACTTGTCATACGTTAGACTGAACATGACAGCTGACCAACGAGGTAAGTCCTATAAAGGGAGGTTAATACTCTGAGCACTACTAAATATTGAGGGTTAATTTTCAGGATTTTGGTATTGACCAAAAAATAATGATATCCTCCAGAGAAAGAAATTTTATTAGGTTGGTTCTCTTCGTAAAATATTCAATATGCCTTCGGAATATACAAACTTGTCAAATAACGGCCAAGTACCAGTCTATAGTAATTTACGCTCTGTATAGGAAACTACCTTTGAGCTTTTGTGGTGTACTAGATACCACTATGGGTAATAAAGCAGTTTTATATATTTGTATAAATATACATGTAGTTTTATTTTTTTGTGCATGCTATTATTTTTTTTACTGCAAGATGTCTTGTTCAGGAAATGTGTTGCTTTTATAATCAAACAATGAATATTGGCCTTTCAAATTTTTTTATGATTAAAAGGTAATAACGGAGAAAAAATCGTTAAATCCTATTCTAAATGATTTTATAAATCGATTAAGGAGACAAATGATGCAAAAGAGGTCTAGCTTAAACTGATTTTTACTTGACATTTTGACAAAAAGTCAATGTTAAAATAACGATATCTCTAGCGACAAGTTGCGACGCGACAAGATTTTGATGCGATGCTATTGACTTGCGATACGATAATGGATATATAAATTTTTTCTATCACAACGCATTTGCAGTTTTTACCTTACGTTAAATGTGATAAAAGCATGGTCAAAGTCGAAATCGAAATCGCTACAGAGTTAAAAATATTTCAAATCGCTTGCGACGCATCAATATAACTCTAGCGACGAGGTTTTTTGCTCGCGATGACGCTCGTTATCACTTCTCATTGCTGCGACAGGGACAAAAGCCGGTCTAGTAAGCGCTTCAAATTTTTCATCCGTCCGTTCGAAAGAACATGGATAGCAAGCTTTCGTCAAAGTGTTGCTTCTAAGAAAGGGATCTGAACGGTTATGCATGTGATCTGTGAGTTATAGCGTTTAAGCAATGTTTAAATCCACCGTGCTGCCACTTCCTGTTTGTCGATAGGTAGAAATTTTTACAATGTTCACTCATTGTAAAAATGAATGTATTGTTAAAGTTGTCTTAGCTGCTACGGAAGAAAAATATCTTATATTTGTTCTGCAGCTGGATAATGTTGAATTGTAGCGTCTTAAATGTGGTTCGATTTCCAATGAGTCATGTATCCACCAGTGTTAAAATGGAGTGGATGTAAGCAATTATAGGCCACCATTGAGCGTACGGTCTTCAACAATGAAAAAACTCATACCGTATAGTCGGCTATAAAAGACCCGACATAAAAAAAATGTGAAACAATTCAAACGATAAAACTAATGCCTTAACGGCCTAACCTATAACAAAACAATTTACAAAAAACAAATATGACCTACTTGGACCAACGACAACCACCGTACTACAGGCTACTAACTTGGGACAGGCACATAAAGAATGTGGCGGGATTAAACATGTTTTTAAGCGCTCAACCCTCCCCTAAAAATACTGAGATTGTACTGTTTGCTGGTCTAAACCGTGGTTGACTATATCTTTCAATGTTTTTTAATGGTTTTGCTGTCCACGTCTTTTGTGATTCTAGCTTTGCAACTTTTTTGGGTACATGACCACGATTTGTCTCCGTTTTACAATTCACTAGATATCCTTAATGTGAGGTCTTAAAAAATTACAGACGTATTTTCTCCTCTATTTATCTTTGAATACATTATGTCCATTTTGTCACCTCGAACATCTGAACACTTTACAAGTTTATACCTTTAAATGACTCTCAGTTTTGTATGAGAAATGAGTATGCATTCACCTACTTACACAATGGGAGGGGGACACTCTACAACATTTCTTTTACGACCTTCGTATTCAGAATAGAACTTAATATATTAAAACGTCTCCGTTATATTTTACCTGTAAATTGAGGCCTTAAGCTGAGCTATGGTAGTGGCATGATTATTTACTATTGAACTCTCTGTGGAGCGCACTGCCGTGCATGTAGATGTATGTATAATTTCATTCTTAAGGACTTCCGTGCAGTATTTATGTCATACCACTACTACCACATGATTGGCTGCTTGTCGGCTGGTACAAAACAAAAAGCTTTGCGATTACTTGAATTTTGTTGTTAATCCTTGAAATGGGCGTATTAATTACTTACCCTTTTTATCAATTTCTAATTTATTTTCGAAATGTGATATGATAATATCCACATTATTCAAACATTTATTAAATAAGAAACAAGTGACTTTTTGTCAGTTTTCGCCCGTTTACACCAATTATTACAATAGGACGAGAGAGAGCATCCTCAATGACCCGGCGACACTCTTTCCAGATTACTTTCGACAGTGGTAGATATTTTGGTCGTTTTTTGGTCGATACGATAATGGATATAAATATTTTTTCTATCACAACGCATTTGCAGTTTTTACCTTACGTTAAATGTGATAAAAGCATGGTCAAAGTCGAAATCGAAATCGCTACAGAGTTAAAAATATTTCAAATCGCTTGCGACGCATCAATATAACTCTAGCGACGAGGTTTTTTGCTCGCGATGACGCTCGTTATCACTTCTCATTGCTGCGACAGGGACAAAAGCCGGTCTATTAAACGCTTCAAATTTTTCATCCGTCCGTTCGAAAGAACATGGATAGCAAGCTTTCGTCAAAGTGTTGCTTTTAAGAAAGGGATCTGAACGGTTATGCATGTGATCTGTGAGTTATAGCGTTTAAGCAATGTTTAAATCCACCGTGCCGCCACTTCCTGTTTGTCGATAGGTAGAAATGTTTACAATGTTCACTCATTGTAAAAATGAATGTATTGTTAAAGTTGTCTTAGCTGCTACGGAAGAAAAATATCTTATATTTGTTCTGCAGCTGGATAATGTTGAATTGTAGCGTCTTAAATGTGGTTCGATTTCCAATGAGTCACGTATCCACCAGTGTTAAAATGGAGTGGATGTAAGCAATTATAGGCCACCATTGAGCGTACGGTCTTCAACAATGAAAAAACTCATACCGTATAGTCGGCTATAAAAGACCCGACATAAAAAAAATGTGAAACAATTCAAACGATAAAACTAATGCCTTAACGGCCTAACCTATAACAAAACAATTTACAAAAAACAAATATGACCTACTTGGACCAACGACAACAACCGTACTACAGGCTACTAACTTGGGACAGGCACATAAAGAATGTGGCGGGATTAAACATGTTTTTAAGCGCTCAACCCTCCCCTAAAAATACTGAGATTGTACTGTTTGCTGGTCTAAACCGTGGTTGACTATATCTTTCAATGTTTTTTAATGGTTTTGCTGTCCACGTCTTTTGTGATTCTAGCTTTGCAACTTTTTTGGGTACATGACCACGATTTGTCTCCGTTTTACAATTCACTAGATATCCTTAATGTGAGGTCTTAAAAAATTACAGACGTATTTTCTCCTCTATTTATCTTTGAATACATTATGTCCATTTTGTCACCTCGAACATCTGAACACTTTACAAGTTTATACCTTTAAATGACTCTCAGTTTTGTATGAGAAATGAGTATGCATTCACCTACTTACACAATGGGAGGGGGACACTCTACAACATTTCTTTTACGACCTTCGTATTCAGAATAGAACTTAATATATTAAAACGTCTCCGTTATATTTTACCTGTAAATTGAGGCCTTAAGCTGAGCTATGGTAGTGGCATGATTATTTACTATTGAACTCTCTG